ACTTAGAAGCTTTTGCCAAACGTGCATCTGACATATGTTTTTACCCTCATAAATTGCTGCTGTTTTGGTTTGAGATGTCAGTGAGACGACATGGTAAAGTAAATATTGCACATCTGGAACGTTCCCTCAGGAATGTTTGTGTTATCACCTTATCCACGCTTGAGCGTACTGTGGCTCATCTGCCACGTCAGTTGCACAAACACAGACTCGCTCACTGGCGGTAGAATGTGATGTGTCTGTCTGGATATATTCTCTTCCGGATGCTCTCCTTTCTAATGCCAAACCGCAGATGTCTCAGGAGCAGAATGTCTTCAGTGCTCAAAACACCACTTGATGAACCTGTGAAAACATAAACAGCTCTACTGAATTTATAAACTTTTTTTTTTTAATTGCCACATGATTTGTGTGTTTTAGAAAAATGGTGAGGTCCCACAAACTTGACAGCTAAAAAAAAAAAAAAAAAAAATTTGCTTTTCACACAAATAAATGCTGATGTGGACATTTCTTTGGGCTCTCATAGGCATGAATTGGAATCCTAAGAAATTTGATTGTTCTGGTTCAGATTCCAGTTACATTATTAAGTACTTTCAGTTCAGAGAATAATTTTGTCTCAAAACCAAATGATTTAAATTTGTGTATTTGTCACTTGTTTCATATTTTAGAAGAAATATAGCATTCCGCTAGCTTCTCTTGTGAAAAAGAAGTACACTTTGGCATGCTTTTAACAAAAGTACTTTTTACTGAAATAATACACTTGAATGTAATATTTTTGGACACTTTACTCCATGCTATTTACTGTGCATGTAATGTGTTATATAGTTTAAATGTATATTAAATTCAATTAGCTTAGCTTAACTAGAGTGTTTTTGAGCCACTTAACTTGGACTTAAATATAAATTGATATGTAATTTCTTAACTTCTATTGTCTTTGAAATAAATTTACTACCAACTGTACTGACAAGTGTTTATGATTAACTAAAAAATACATTATAGGACTTGCATTTCATGTATTTAAATCTATTTGTAATTACACATTTGCAATGATGAAGTTGCAATAATACTTTAATGTAATTTCGAGCAGTTAAAAATATAACCAAGGACTTTGCAAGTGTTTTAGTATGTTAAAAATGTAGCTAATTTAAAGTACAACTAAACATTATTACAACTAAAGATTATTAAAACAATGATTTAAAATGTACTTTAGAGTAAAACGTTTAATTTATTATTACAAATTGCTCTTTTTAAAAGTGTACTAACCATAGTCGTAATAGTGTACTCTGTTTAAGTACATTCAAGTGGCCTTTTATTTCATCATTATTATATTATTTTGCTAGTACAGTTTTTTTTTTAAATTTACAGGACTAGGCTTATAATTATTGGCACACAGTGTGATCCAACTGATTCACACTCCAGCTTTTTGAACCGACCACTTAGACAAGATAAGACTGACTGACCAAAATGTAAAGCAACCAACCATAGTTACTTTTGTTTTTATGTGCCATTTAGGGGTGGATTCATTTGAAATCTCTCAAACAATAATAAAGAATGGAGTGTGGGAGGGAAACACTCAAATAATGGTATAGCCTAGTCTCCGCAAACAGTTGTAGAAACAGCACCTTGGAAAATGGCAAAAAATGTGTAAAGAACTTTTGTTGCCAGGTGAAATCATACAAACTGACTTCCAGTGGTGCGTAGAGGCCAGCCAATCATATTGGAACTGCTGAAATTTGTTCTACACGCAATTCTAGTCTGCAATATGCATCAGACAGTCCGTGATCAGATTGTGGGTGGAACATGGGGCATTCTGTCTGTGCGGAGACTAGGGTTTCCGCAAACTGACTGCTTTGGCTTTTCATTTCATTTAAGTAGAGACAGATTAAAACGTAAGAGTAGACACAACTGTAGGGCACACGTGTAAGCATGTGTTTATGCATTTATGGCCCACTCTTTGCATATCTCTTCCATCACTCTCTCTGGGAATGGAAAAATGCCTCAGACCCTCAAGAAAAGCTGTTTATATCTTTGGCTGGGAGGTATGATTGTAGATGCGTTTAGTTTTGTTCCAAAGCAATTCATGCTTTTTATCCCCAAGTATGACTTTCATTAATTCTTTGTTTTATCTGTTGCTATTCATTTTGGCTCTAGGATTTTGAATTTGGATGGATGAATGGTTTGCTGCTTTTTCATGTTCTGTTTTGCTGTGTCATATGACTAAGCATTACTGGGAAATCTTCTGGTAGACTGGTTGATAAGGAACAGTAAAATTAAATCCTTTGAAGAAACGTGCCTCAAGGTTCCGTACTAGGACCATTTGAAATCTTCTTTATGATGATAATTTTAGGTCAAGATGTAAAGTTACATGTTACTAAAATGTAGAGGTGGGCATAGATTATTTTTTTTAATCTAGATTAATCTAGATTAATATTGAAATTAATCTAGATTATTCTAGATTAAAATGGCTCATTTGAATTCTCCCGAAGGCATTCAGAATATGTGTGCTACCCAAATAATGACTAAAAGTAAGTCTTTGAGAATAGTTTGCCTCGCGTAGGGATGTGCATTTCTGCCAAAAATGCCATTCGACAATCGAGGAGCAAAAGTCGAATATCAAAAAAAAAAAAAAAAAACGCAATGACAGAAAGGGAGGCCAATTTCATCTTTAGCGAATTGTCATCAAACAAACTGTTTATTAATTGAACAAGTAACATGTTTTCGTCCTTTTTTAACATAGTAGGCTAATTGGAAGAAGAAAAAAAAAAATACGCACGACAGTCCGTTTTTGCATCGCCAATGCTCGTTAGATCAAAAAATAATGTCATAAGAATTTTATGTGAACCTGCCTTGTTACTGCAATAGCCTCATTTTTAAACAAATTAGTTTCAATCAATGTAAACTATTCGTGTGATTATGCCACTGCGCAATACACGCGCAATACACACACAATGTATTACCTGAATGAAATGAAATCGAATGTATCGTCCTGTGGAATCATTCATTCACAGACAGCTTACGAAGATGTTCAACTAATAAAGATCTTCATCGCTGGCAAAAATATGATGCATTTGCAGATTTGCATTCACTAGACTAGACTGTAGATCGGCCACTTCATCCAACGCTCTTGATGCTCTTAAATCTTCCTGTTTCGACTCCGAGTGTGAATTGAAAGCGCTTCAGACGATTCAGTGCGCGAGGAACTGAACAGATCAACTGATTCGCGAACCGATTTAGACAGATCATCTGACTGTTTGATAAAGTCTTTAAACAGAATCGACTCAAAAGAGTGATTCATTTGTAAATGAGCATCGCTCATGCCCATACAAAGGACACAGCTTGGAATAAACTCATTTAACAACGTATTGCATTAAAATAAAGTAACGAGAGGAACGTCGCCCAACGTAACAAAGTAAAAGTACACCTTGTGTCCCTGACAGGAAAATAAAAAGCTATTTATGATCCCAACCCAACTTTGATTAACAGCGATATTTTTTTTATCGCCCGATAAGAGTCTCACGTTAACGCAGCACGTTAACGCCGATAACGGCCCAGCACTACTAAAATGTGAAATTTACCTATAATGTATGATCTACAGAAATACAGAACTGCTGCACAAAGCAAATGCATTTCTGATGCATTCAAAACATTGTTTTGTGGAGGGTTTTTTTGATGGTTAAAATGCATCATATTAGTCATTCTTTAAAATGAAAAATGTGATATTTTTTTAGTTAACAGCATTACATTAAAGTGATTAAAGCCAGTATATATTGTTGTTATTTGTGGGCCAGTTGCTTGTGAGATTTTTAGTGCATTGTTTGGCCAGAATAGTTTATTAATGGATTGCAAATACTGCAATATCAATCTATGATTTTTACCTAAATTTAACTGGATCTTTTACTTGGGTGAAATGGGTTAATCTCACATAAACTCTTAGTAAATATCCCAGTCGTGAGTAATAATGACCGAAATTAGTGAAATAATTTTACAGAAACAATGTGTTTTTTGTTTGTTTGTCCTGGGGTTGATTAGGGAGAGCATTCGTAAATCTCAGATTGTGACTAGGAAACAATGAGGCTTTGAGAGTCTAATTCAGTTTATGTTCCTGTATGTCATGTTATGCATAATTTAGGAGTAAAGCTATGAATGTGACCTGCTTGGAACGAGAGCCTTTTCTTACAGCAGGTCTCACATCTTTCAGTGTAGTCGCTTTGATTGCGTGTGTGTACACGTTTATGAGAGAGAGAAATTATTTTTTACAGTAATATGAATGGATGCTTCAGAAGCACACCAAATGTGTGACATACACTTCCTTGTAACTGAAGCATACAATATGCTTTCTTATGTGTAGTGGTGCCATCACTAATGAATAGTCTGTGACCTCCTTTTTTCCCCAGTCCTAAGTTGATGAATGTAGGCCAGTTCAACCAGCACAACAGTCATTCCCAGTTACATCTCAGCACCAGCTGGCAGAGTTTACTACTCTACACTGCTGACATGCAGTGAGACTGCTTCTATCTACTTCCCTAGACTTTAAAGTTTTTTTGTTGACAGGAAGACATTTAGCTGTGGTAGACAAATATTTGGACATTTTAAGAGTAACATGCCAACTCATATTCCCGACCTCCTAAAGGTTCCAAAATATACCCTTTTCTATTTTCAAACTTCACATTATATGATTATATGTATGTGTGTTTTTGTTTGTTTGTGTGTGTGTGTGTGTGGGGGGGGGGTGTATGTATATCTGTGTGTGTATGTAGTTATATATAATTAATGTATATTAAATATAAATAAATATAATTAAATTAACCTTTCTAATCTATTAGAATACACTGACTGATTAATATTCCATATATGTAAAAACAAATATAATTTTGTCTTTTTCTGTTGCGCGTTTGAAGAGGCCAAATTTCAAACCTGTTTTGTTAAACTAAATAACTGTAATCACTTTAAACCATGTGTCAATGTTGCCACTATGTACCACTGAATCTCCTTTGCTCTCTTTTTAGGTTGGCGGCACTAAAACAGGAGTAGTGCGTTATGTGGGGGAGACTGACTTTGCCAAGGGCGAGTGGTGTGGAGTGGAGCTGGACGAGCCGTTAGGGAAAAACGATGGAGCTGTAGCAGGAACCAGGTACATCATTTGTCTTCCACTAACATGTTCTGTCTTTAGCAGCACCCTTAATGGCCTTCCAACACTAATAGGTCTCATTATTTCATGCCTTTTTAAAATAGGTTTGTAAACTATTTAGTATGTTTATATATCTCGGTTGTAGTGTGACCTAACATGAAATCAAAATGGACCTGATTTATTTTCTTAATACATCCCAGTATTATTCATCAATTTATATAGGGTATATACAGGGTATATATACACGTTATTCCTAAGGAATAAAAAAAAAAAAAAAATTTGTCTTTAGTGCTGTCAATCCATAAAAAAATTCCTAACATTTAAAGCTTTTAATTAGTGCTGTCAAATGATTAAAATATTTAATCGCATTAATGTCATAGTTAACTTGCGATTAATCTCAATTAATCACACATTTTTATCTATTCTAAATGTCTTTTGATTTCTTTTTGTCCCATTATTTTTTCTAATTTTAATGCTCTTATCAACATGGAAAAGTGGATCGGCTTTGTGCAAATGTTTTTTATTGAAAACAACATTGACAATACTGTGTTCAATTTCACACTAAAACATTCTCACTTGGAGCAAATAATCTCTCACACAATGTAACACTGTCCATCAATAAAAGGGTGAAAGAAATACTGACGAGGTCCTGATATTGACGAGGGGGTGGAGAATTCACATCAGCTGTGTGTGTGTGTGTGCTTGGCCATCAAGTGGTGTTTCAGACTGGACGTGCTGCGATGCAAGCTCAGTTCACAACGACAAAACACACAGATCACTTTGGTCTTGTCAATGGGACCATTTGGCAACTTTTTAAAAGTAAACTTTTTTAATTCAGAATCTTATTGGCATCCATTTCGGCGTCTCGCACTCGTCATCCACTCAAAACGTAACGTTAACCAACTATTTGGCCGGCTCGCAACAAGTGTGTTTCCGGTCTAGCTAGATCCGGTGCTTTCAGACAGGATGCGGAATGCGCGGCGCTACGCCAGTTTTCAAAACTTTTTGGATGCCAAAAAGTTTCTATTGGCCGCGCTGGTAATCGTCACAGCGGCAAAAGTTGAACTATTTCGAATTTTGACCGCGGTGTGCGTGCCGCTGCTCTTGCGCTTTGGTCGACGAAGCAACCAAACGTCCTCGCCCGGCGCAAGCCATTGAGATCAATGGGTTTCATAGCGCAGTGCCGCGAATGCTGCATCCTATTGCAAAAGCATGTGAAAAAAAAAATACAAGTTTGCTAGGCCAAAAAGACCGTTAATCTCGCGATAGAAAAATGTATCGCGTTAAAATGGGTTTGCGTTAACGCCGTTAATAACGCGTTTAACTGACAGCCCTACTTTTAATATATTTTTATATTGTAATAATTTCACAGTTAATCTCCAAATTAATGTAGAAACAACATAAACGCATTACTTTTTAGGTCTGGTTCTCAAGGGAGCACCTGGAGATGCTGCTTGGTACTCACACTACAGCGGCACACACACTTATCCTACAAGCTGCCCAAATGGAAAATAACATTATTTGAACACTGTAGAAATTAAATATTGGTTCACCTTTGTTAAAGCTATATTTTTTTTATCAACCTTAATGACACGTACAACAGCAGGGATATTAGGCTGCTGTCACTTTAAGACCGAATCCACAGTCCGAATATACTGACACACACAACACATCCGGTTTCTTTCTCAAATGTTCACTTATGACATAACCGAGAGAATACTTGCCGAGACGGGTATTTTGACATAATTTTGTGTATGTGTCAGTTGAAGAGCAAGTATACGTGAAAGAAGAATCAATTCGGTGTTCGAGCGCTGTCTGAAACGTGCCTCTCTCTCTCTTTTTCTTTCTCTCTCTCTCGCGCTTCTGCTGTGTGTGTGCGCGCTTCTGGTGTGTGAGGCTCAGAGGCTGTGCGGACAGATAACAGTGCTCCAGTCCCGATTTTGCCGCCTCTTCCGCTTTTAAATCGTTTGAATGTGTAAATTGGCAAGACAAAAGATGTCCAAATGATAAACTTTCACTCTATGATGGTTAAACTTAGCAGTTAATCAGTGAATCACATGCATGCCGAACCGTGGGGCCTGGTCCGTATAGATCCCGTATCAACCCTAATAATTAATGAACACACTTATCATCATGATTGCTATCTTACCAGAGATTGAGAAAAATCCTACTCCAGTGAGTAAACGTGTCCCTGTCCCCAAAAATGCCCAAAATGTTGGTGCTCAAAAACGCTTCCCTCCACTTTTTCTGCTACGTATCGTTTATTTTTACCACACATGCGCAGCAGTTATATGCACCCCTGAACATAGACAGTATATTTTAGGTATTTGATCTAACAGGTAGGAAACATACAGAAATGTAATAAAGTTATCAAACACTTCACAGTCTTCACTGCATAAATTATAATTTAAGTATAGATTTGTCCTTATTAAAGCTACAAAAGTTAGTCAAGAGCAGTGATTGATTTTCTCTTTGTCTTTTGTTCTTTGATTTACTCTAATGACATCACAGTAGCAGGTTTATTAGGCTACTGTCACTTTAAGATCTGAAGCACATGACGTGGATCTGACACATATTCCATGACCTCACAACTCTTTATGGTCATCTAAGACTTTATTTAACTCATTTAAGACTTTGCTTACGAGGATACTTGACAAAGCTTACATTTTGTCATAATTTTGTGCTTTCGTCCGTTCAAGCGTGAAAGACAACTCAATGCAGCCGTGCGCTGTCTAATGTGGCTTTCTGTGCGCATGAGTTTCACAGACCGCACGCCAGTACAGATTTAAGTTCTTTTTTGTGTCTTATCACGCTTGAATGGTTTAATAGCAGTAGAATGAATGATAGCGTGATCATATACTATAGCGCAGCCAACGGATGATGGGAATAAACGGATGCTGTGATAATTTGCTAAATATTTTTAACGCGTTAAACTGAAAAAAAAAAATGTATTGCATGCGTGTTCATTTTGATAGCCCAAATATATTTCAACATCTAGTAATTTGCTCTGCATTCTGTTCACAATCCAAACAATTCCTGATGGACAAACTCCCATCCTAAATAGTTTATTAGGGAAATAATTACTGAAGAAAAATGGGTTGCGAGTGCAGTTTCATGTAGACCTTTAGTATTAGGATACAGGCCAGGTGACCTGCACATGTAATGGTTCACATGCTGAGCCAAGGTTAAACCTCAGCTGTCTTTTCACTGAAGAACAGGGATGGTTGAGTGCCAAACAGGAATAAACCGCTTCATGGATACTCTTTAATTGTTGACATTTGGCCCAAGGCTGGATTTAGTAGATTATGTAGTTTGTTTTTATAAACGACGGCTTGACAGCCTGGACATCTGCCTGTTCAGTTTAGATGATAAGAAACATTTTCTAAGAGACAGCAGTAATCTATGATGAAAGCCAGTATATATTGTTGTTATTTGTGGGCCAGTTGCTCTTGAGATTTCTAGATTTTTAGTGCATTGTTTGGCCAGAATAGTTTATTAATGGATTGCAAATACTGCAATTTAATTTATAACTTAATTTATTCCTTGAAAGAATTCTCTTCTCAGACTCACAAAGTCAGCATTTATTTGATTTTACAGTAAAATCAGTAATATTGTGAAATATTATTACAATTTAAAAGAACAGTTTTTTTATTTTTATTATTGGAATATATTTTAAAATGTAATGTATTCCCGTGATGGTAAAGCTGACTTTTCAGCATCATTATTCCAGTCTTCAGTGTCACATGATTCTTCAGAAATCATTCTAATATGCTGATTTGATGCTCAAGAAACATTTCTTATTATCACTTTTCTCCGTGGTCATATTTTAATATTCATGTGCCAGTATAATGAATGTGTTGCAGGTCTGTGTTTTATTGGTTGTTGTTTCCCCACTTCCCACCTTCTACTCTCCCACTTTTCCACAGCTTTACACGTCCATTTCTTGAGACTTTTTCAACTCGGAGGTGTGAACGACCAGGCTAAAGCATGACACTTTAATGTTCTAATGTTCTATATGTTACCCTTCAAAATACTGCATTTCCTCCCTCACATCCGTATTCTCTCTGTCTCTCCTTAGATATTTTCAGTGCCCACACAAGTTTGGCCTCTTTGCTCCGATCCACAAGGTGATTCGGATTGGCTTCCCATCCACCAGTCCGGCTAAAGCTAAGAAGAGCAAGCGTATGGCCATGGGTGTGTCGTCTCTGGCTCACAGCCCCTCCAGCTCCTCCATCAGCTCTGTCAGCTCTGTGGCCTCCAGCGTGGGGGGCCGACCCAGCCGCACTGGCCTGGTAAGACACTCTATAACGTCATGAAGAAAGTGCCAGTGCAAATCACAAATGTCTTATGTTGACATTTTGCAGCGTTGCTTCCTGATCCCACTGTCATAATGTCACAATCACTTTATTTTTGTCCTGGGGTAATATAAGGCTTTTTTTTTTTTGATAAGAACCTCTGGTGCTCTTCACGTGTCGGTCAAAAATGCAGTAGCACCTCATTGCAGTACATGAGATCCAGGGGGCGGTGTTGGATCCAGATCTAAGGGGTGGAGTGGGTAGGATTAGGGGTGGGGTTAAGGATCAGGGGGCGGAGATGGGTAGGTTTAGGTATATGTAAGGTGGGAGGAGTTGGATCTGGATCCAACTCCTCCCCCTGGATTTTGTGTTCTGCAGTGAGGACCATCTCCAAAAATGACTGAAATAATCATTTTTATTTTAAATTCATTGAAATTCATTATTTAATATTTTTATTTCGCTATAATAAGGGGATTTTATGGTACTAAATTATAATTTTTTTATATTTTAAATAAAATATTTTTTTTTATTTACGCTGTAATTATAATCCATTTATTCACTTTTTGAGCATAGACCTGAAAATGAAATTTAACTTGATTAAACTTAAAATGTCATAAATCTTGAATGCTTTAGGCCTTTTGTTAAATTCGATTATTTGTGTATCTGATTAGAATCTGATCTAAAATTATTGACGTCCACACTGTGTATCGCAACTGTTCAGATCCGATTTGTGTGTCCATGCAGCTCTTCCGTTTTCCGTAATATCTGCATTGGTTTCTATGGCAATGACATTGCGTTGGTAGGCATACGCCAAAAACAACAACAACAACCGTAACATGGAGGGGTTTGCAATAGAAATGTTGTCTTGTTTAAATTTTACGATGCCGTTGCACTGAACTACTGCGTCTTGTTTTACTCGAAAACTTTGAGAAAATCAAAGCCATAAAGTTGTTGTTCAAAATTTGAGCCTGGTATCTCAAAAAATAAGCTTTCAGTACGATTTTGTTTGGCCGCAATACCAAAAGTTTTCACTAGATGAAATTCGTCTCCCATTCATTTCCAATGCGGTCATTTTGACCGCGAGGAGCACAAGTGTGACTATTTTTCTCAGGACCATTTAACCTGTTCAAATCATGTCCTTGATTTTTTTTGTTTTGTTTACATAGCAAGTGCCAAAAACCTTTACCAAGTTTCTTACCATTCCAATGAAGAAAAAAATAAAGAAATGTAAACATTTGCGGCCATCTTTGTTCTGATTTGAATTAAGTTGACGTTTTGCCTTTTTTTCGCGCAGTTGACCGAGACGTCGTCGAGGTACGCACGGAAGATCTCTGGGACCACGGCTCTGCAGGAGGCCCTGAAGGAGAAACAGCAGCACATAGAGCAGCTCCTAGCCGAGAGAGACCTGGAGCGGGCCGAGGTCGCCAAGGCAACCAGCCGTATCTGCGAGGTGGAAAAAGAGCTGGCGGCGCTGAAGGCCGGACATCTGCAGGTGTGACTCACACATATAAACACAACACTTACACGAGCATTTCATTTACTACACTTACTCACAAATGCAAACTTATACGCTCCATTTAACAGCATATTCATATGAATTTCTGACGGAACAAATGACCTTTTCTCTTATCTCATTCAGTATGCAACGGAGGCAGAGAGCAACCTACAGCAAGTCCGAGCCGTGCTGGCAGGCACTCAGAAAGACAAAATGGAACTGGCCAATCAGCTTGAAGAAGAGAGAAGGTAGAGGTTTTTTTTTTAAACCTCACATACATTGTATAGTAGTATCCTGACATTTGCTGTTAGTGTTATTGAGTCATTGTTCTTCACTTAAAGGTGAACTAAGTATTTGTTTTTTAATAAAAAAACCCCCCACAAAACTGAAGAGCAGATGAGAGTGGGGTAAGCTGGGACACTTCTTTCTTAAGATGTCCTCTAGACAAAGATAAATAACAGCCATTTCATTATGTCTGTTTCCCTCTGATATTTGAAGAAAGCGTCTGGATCAATGGTTCTAAACCAGGGGCCTCGGCAAACATCCAAGGGGGCCACTGGGTGACTTAAAATTATTCAAGTGAAATATATTATTATCTATGCAACAAATTTTAATGTTATTAATAATAAAATGAAATGGTCTTAATTGATTTATTAAACTTTAATTAATCTTATTAAAACCATTGCATAAAGGTAATATTTCCTTTTTTCCTTTAATAACTGTTGGTTCTGAGCGCATCCCAGTTTATGTTTTTATAAAACAATTATTAAACAAATAGAAATAAAAAAAGCAAGTAGCTTTTGTCATAATTGTAGCAGAAATATTGGCACAAATATCTTACCTTGTATTGAGAGACCTTTAAAAAAATTGTGTTGGGCAATGGGGGCCTTCAAGTCAAAAAGGTTGATCATAGAGTTCTCCAAAAATATTATAAAGATAGCGTGATCTAGTTAGGAGTTGATTCAGTTGGAATATCTATACTACGTTTCAAATAGAAATAAAGTAGGGAATTTTTTTTCGTAATGGACAATAACAGAAAAGTTATTAAAAAAATTATAATTCTGAATATAAAAAGCAAGGAAAAGGTGTAATATTCATTATTTCCTGCCCTCACCCCACTGCTTTTAGGGAAAATTCTTCATCTAATGATTTGGCTAATCATTATCCATGAATTTTTACATGGTTTTATACATTGGTAATAAAGTTTGGTGGAAAGTTTAATTTGACATGCAAAGAAATGTTTATTACTGTTCTTATGTTCTCTTAATTACAGCCTGCAGTATATGATGAGATATATAATTGTGCTCTTTGCTAGATTACCAGGGCGACACAGCTTACCTTACGCTGATACATCATAGCCTACTGTTCACAAAAAAGACATCCTTGTCATGGGTGATAAATACTCCTGCGAATAGTGGTGTTTGGCAATTAAACACTTTTGTTTTTGTGTGATGCTGCATGCACACCAATAGGTGTCAGCATAAAGTCCAATACTTCTTTATCTGCCAGCGAAACAAACAAATAAATGAATAATGTCCTGACACCTGGTGGTTATTATGTGTTATGACAGGAAAGTGGAAGATCTTCAGTTCAGAGTCGAGGAAGAGTCCATTACCAAAGGAGACCTGGAGGTATCTGCCGTTTTTACTACTACTTTACTGGAAGATGGTGTGTTATTTGTTTGTTTGTTTTGTATTGTTTTTTAATTGGAGGATTTTTAAGATAATAGATTCGTAGAAAAGAAAAATGATGCTATTGCTGAATCATACAATTGATAAAACATTTACAATGTCTTTCCAAATATTTTCAGTCCTCAAAAATCTTGCGTTATGAATATTCGACATGATCTATGACCTTATGACTGTACGAAATGCTGAACACACTACTTTTACAGTCTTATTTTCATTTGTGAAAAATTAAATATGGTGTCCACTCAAATCTGTTTAAATATCATTTTAAACACATGTCCTTCCATCCAGCCCTATACTGTCATGCTGAATTTAAAAACACTCTTTCCTGGCTTTAAACCTCTTCACACGTTGGTATTATGATTGGTGCATAGCAAAGACCTGTTAATCTTTTTCTCTGCTACCTATGTGTGTCTTTTTTCTCTCTTTATCTCGTGTCTTTTTATTTCCCCCCCTCTTTTTCTCTCTTTAGACTCAGACCAAACTGGAGCATGCCCGTATTCGGCAGCTCGAGCAGTGTCTGCATTTGGAAAAGTCCAAAGCAGAGCGGCTTCAGAAAGAGTTAGAGGAAAATATGGTAAACATGCAGGGAGAGGAAACACTGTAGCCATCTCTCCCATTGCCATGTTTCTGCCACTTTATTAGAGCCCATGTCTATGGGCCTCCACTGCTTGTGCTTGACTGACCAGGCCTGGGATCTCCATCATTCACAAAAAGCTGACTTGTTTGTTAGGGCTGTTGGAAGTTAATTCGTGCAACTGATTCGATATATTTAGTCTAAGCAAGTGGATCAGAAAAGATCAGATATTTCAATCTTTTGGTAGATTTGGATCAAATTTAATCGCACCCATTATTTTTGCATTTACATTGTTGAATCAATTGGAATTTACTCCAGCTGTGTTGGAGATGTTGGAGATCTTAGTCTGTCTCTTGTGGGGCAGCACTGCTCCTGACAGCCAGCAACTGCTTTCACCTTTCATTTGCAAAATATTTTTTCATGTCTATCTTTTTCTTGTTCTCTAAGCATCTGCCCGAGACCCTCTGGTGGAGTTGAGATGTTATCTTCTGATCTCACTTCCCCACATCAGCCTTCATTTAATTTTTTATATGGTGAAATAAAGCCTCCAGCCTCTAAAAGGGTTGTGATAAAACTCCCTCTGACACATCGACGTTGTATTTGTACCCCTAATTTTTCTATAATTAATGCTAAGGCATCACTGTTATCATTGGTCATGCATATTTTTCCTGTTCCTCTTATTAGTCCTTGTGCTGGAGACAGGAATGTCTTAGAAATGTGTGGTGGAACCACTATAGCAACACCCTGGTGACCACCCAGAACAACCTAGCAATGCCCTAGTGACTGACAAAACACCCTAGTTATAGACTAGTGACCACTCAGAATACTTTGGCACCTGACTAGACACATCCAAGCAAGCACAAAGAACACCATACAAAACACCCAGAAACCCTCACAACTGCCTAGCAATCCCTTAGTGACCACTCAAAACACCCTCGTAAGAACCTTGTGAACACCCAAAACACCTTAGCAACTACCTAGATACATCCAACCAAGCACATAGAACACCATACAAAACACCCAGAAACCCTCACAACTGCCAAGCAATGCTCTATTGACCACCCAGAATTCCCAAGAAATGTCCTAGTGACCACTACCAACACCCTATCAGAACCCTAGTAACGCCCTAGTGACCACTACCAATACCCTAACAACACCCTAGTGACCACCCAGAACTCCCTAGTAAGAACTTAGTGTACACCCAAAACACCTTAACAGCTACATCCAAGTGAGCATGCAGGACACAATAGAAAACACCCAGAACACCCTCACAACTGCCTAACGATGGCCTAGCTGCTACAAAGTAAAACACACCCTAGCTACCAACTAGCAAACGCCCAGAACACCCTCACAACTGTCTAGCAACACACTTGCTTCCAACCAGAAAACCCTAACAGCCACCAAGCAATGCCTAGCGACCACCCAGAAGATGCTAGCAACCTTGTAGCAATGCCGTGGTAACCACCCAGAATACCCTAGCAACTGCCTAGTAACATCCTAGTGATCACCCGAAATACCTAGAAATGTTCTAGCAACCACCTAGTAATGCCCTAGCTACCCACTACAACATCCTTAACACTCAAGTAAGCAGGGCTTAAAAAAAAAAGTAATTTTTTTATTATTATTTTCTAAATAGTAGTGGTTCTACACTAACCTGCGCTGGATATAACCTGCCATTGATGACATATCCTCGGAAAAACTCCTACAGCTAATGCCAGCACGTTGCCTTGCGACTTACATAGGATGAATTTACAGCCGAGCGCGGTCATTTCACTCACGTTGGATGCGTCAACGTCACATTTGCGTAGAGGCCGTACTATTTGAATTCATGATTGGTTGAATGATGCCAAATTAAAATCTTAAACAGAACGATAAAATAACGTTATTAACCAGTTAATCGTAATTTCAAATAAGCGTTTCTGTTCAGAACGTTTAAACTTGATTTCGTTTTTTGTTTGTTCCTGTTAAAATTGAATTGTTTTTGTGTTCGTTCCTTGAACCGATTCAGAGCCCTGCTAGTAAGTGTCTAGCAATGGCCCTGGATACACCCAGAACACTCTAGCAACTAGCTACCAATGCTCTAGCAAACACACAGAAACACAAATGCCCTAGTAACCACCTACAAACACCCTAGCTAGGGCCTAGCAATGTGGTGGGAGTTTTGCATGGAGAAGCTCCAGACACATTTACTTCAGTAAATGTAAAAGTGTAGTTTTGGCTGTCATTGTGAATGATGGTGAGTGAATCCAGCACAGTCCAGGCACTCTAATCAACAGGATTTCACATTTATCATTAACAGGTCAGAGGCAGGTTCCAGCCAGCACCCATGAGGCTGGGCAAGAGTGTCAAGGTGATATAAAGGGAGTAACATACTGTGTGGTTTTAGAGTGACCTTCTCCTTTAAAGATGAACATTTATATTTAGATGCGTGCTCCTCTCACTTCTCTCTTGTGGTTTGAGACTTCATCTATGAACTCTTGTAGTATTATCTGATCTCTGATAACCCCTAATGATATTTTCCTTGGAAATATCAAATTTCCAGATGACTCCACAATGACTAACATTAATATTTGGTGTGCTCTCTGAAATGAAAAACATCTTCAAATATATTTTCTTTAAACATAGTTTGAATCATAGTAGTAATTGCCTGTGTTCCTTTGGACTTGCTGTGTGCTGTGCCATTTCATATTTGCCTGGCTGCTTCTTGATGGACAGATTGAGGAACGCTTGCTTGGGCTTGAATTCAACAGGAATGCTGGTGTAGTTTCTTAGGTTGCACTATATCTGCTTTTTTGCACATGCGAGAGCCATTTTTCAAGAAATGGTCGTTCACTGAAATGTTTGCAGGGCAAGCAAAATGTTTTGTTTGCTTCTAATGCCTTCCAGTTGCAAATCTCCAGTGGGCAACTCTCTAAGAGATTTCATTCGGATTATCAGCAACAATACAATGTTTATTTAGGAATGCACAATATATAACCATTGGCTTTTACAGATAGCCAATATTAATCATTTTTTTGTTTTTAAATTTAATCGGAAAAAATACTCCCTTATATTATCTGCTTCCAGTATAATAATAATAATAATTATTATTATTATTATCAGTATCATAATACACAGTTCTCAGTAGTCTGATATACTCTACTCTAAAAAATACAAACTGTAATGCAAAAAAATAACGAATTACATTTGTAAAGTTCATTTGTAACTGTGCATCATGGAAATATATTTTATTTAAAGGGAAAAAATTGTTGTCTGGACAAAATTACTTTCATTATTGTAATATTACAATATTAATAATGAAAATTGTGTTTTATTGAGTTATGTTTAAGTGTCATTCAAATAATGTCAGAGTGGATAAAAGTTTATATTGTTATTTTCATCACCATTTTGTCATTAATACGATTTTTCCAAAAAATTTGCTCCGTTTAGAATCACTAATTAAATCCTAAGACTAAGGTCAAAGGTCTTATTGAAAAATCACTAAATCCTTTGAGAGTTGCCACTGAGCAGAAGAACTGGAGGCTTTGGCATAATAACGGTTTACGATGCAAGATTTATGACCCTCTCTCTGTCCTCTAGCAAACTACAGTTGAGGAGAAGAGTCGTGTTATGCAGCTGGAGGAGGAACTGGCCCTGCGCAAGGCTGAGGTCGAGGAGCTCCAGGTTCGGCTTCAGAGAAGCTCCTCCGGCCCAGGCACAGATGCTGGAGACTGCGGGCTAGGCTTAAACTCGGAGACTCTGGTCTTGCGGGAACAGCTTCTCTCCGCAGGCCGCGAACGTCGCGAAGAGAGCAGCCAGCTGCGCGAGAGGTACGAGGCGTCCCTGAGCACCAGCCAGAAAGAAGTTGAACGCCTTAAAGCCACCACAGATCGTCAGGGCCAAGAGATCTCTGACCTGAAGCAAAGACTTCAGCAGGCCACTCGTGAAAACATGGAGATGATGGACAGCTGGAAAGCCAAGCTAGACACTTTGGTTGGAGACCATCAACGTGCTCTAGAGGAACTAAAATCCTCATTAACGGGAGATCGTGGGGCCAGTGAAATCGGAGAGGGTGAAGGAACCACACCTGAGATGAGGGCTGCTCTGGAGAGCTTAAAAATGGAGCATCAACTGGAGCTAGAAAACTTGAAGGCCAAGCATGAGATTGATGCCGCCATGATGGCCAAAGAGCGCGAAGACCTACGTGCCCGACTTCAGGATCTGCGGGACCAGCTAGAGGAGAGCGAGCAGAACTGGAAGATCCAGGTGGAAACCAAGAGCAACCAGCATACTCTGGAGCTCAAAGAGGTTTTAGAGAAGCTCCAAAAGGCTGAGTTTAGGATCAGCGATATGGATAAGTCCCATGAAGAGCATAAAAATGCCACCCTACTTCTTAAAGAGCAGCTGGAGCTGGCTGAGAAGAAGATGGTTGATTATGAAGCCCTGCAGAAGGCTGAAGCTCAGAGCCGAGCAGAGATCCTCTCTCTGCAGGAGAAGCTGAGGGTCAGTGAGAACCGACTGCAAGCTGTGGAGGCGGATCACAACACCCAGGATGTTAATGTTAGTGACCTCTGGGACAGTACACATTTGATCATTTTTAATCATAAAAAAGGGTAGAGTTGTAGTTAATGTTATCTTGTAGATTAGTCAAAAATTCCATTACATACAGGGCTACAATTGGAAGTTGATCGTAAATCTTTGAACCCAGTCCGAAAGGATCCTAATGGGATTAATAAGCATGAAGATCCTACTGGATAGACTGAAATCCTGAAAAAGAATTGTATGAAATTTCCATTAGGATCCAGTGGGATCTTATTTGATACTTAGATGATCCTTATGTGATCCCATTGAAATCCTATCATATTAGTTCCAAATTATAACAAAAATTACAAAATGAATCCTGTTCAAACTTTGGAAATTGTTGACTGGGGTTCACTTAAATGTTTTTTATATTTTCTCACTATCCAGATGATCGAAAATAATGACAACTCTGAAGAGAAGATTAAACTGAAACAGAATATGGAAGGTACGTGAACAAATTATTATGTTGTATCTTGAAACTAATGTACTGTACACTACTGTTCAAAGGTTTGGGGTTGGTAAGATTGATCAGATGGTCAGTTTGATTGCCAAGATTCTTACAAGGCTGCATTTTTTGAGCAAAAATGCTGTAAAAACAGAAATATGAAATATCACAATTTAAAATAACTGGTAATATATTTTTTATTTCAGTGTCACACGATCCGTCAGAAATCATTCATCAATTTGCTGATTTGGTGCTTAAGAAACATTTCTTATTGTTATCAATTTTGTGCTGCTTAATATTTTTACTGGAAGCTGTGATCTTTGATAAATAGAAATTTCAAAAGGACAGCATTTATTTGAAATAGATAAGACATTTATAATGTTATAAAATATTTCACATTTGATCACTTTGATCTTTGATCAATTTACATTTCAAAAGGACAGCATTTATTTGAAATGTAAATCTTTTATAACATTTTAAATGTCTTAACTGTCACATTTGATCACTTTAATGCATCGGAGCTGAATAAAAGTATTTATGTCTTAACAAGGAAAGAAAACCAAAACTTGAACATTAGTGTACATAGCTGAGTTGACAGTGGTGTACTTAATCCTTCTGGTATAATGTTTAATTTTTCTTTTAATCTGTAATTATACCGTAGTTGCTATAACGAAAAACAGAGTGAAACACCATGGTAATAATAAACATTTTCAGACATTTCAGAATGTGAAAAATGTTTTCTATGCCTGTGTTTATAACTTCATTCATTCTATTAGAAACTCTGGAGAAACTCACAAAAAGGGAAAAAGAAGTCTCCACTCTAACAACCCAAGTAGACGCCCTAAAGACCCAAATAACTGGTAATTATCACATTAAAGAGTGCCATTTGTCATTCTCATTATATTTTTTATAAAAGAACAAAGAGAGCTATATTTAACATAACATAGGATGATGTTGGTGATATTTTGTTCTCTTTCTAACCATAAAATCAACTGCATCTTTTGTGTAGCCTTGGAGGAAAAGGTTCGTTTGGGAGAGAATGCGGCAGAAGGATTCTTTAGGGAGAAGACGCGTTTGGAGGCGGAGCTGGAGTCCATGACCAAGAAATCCCATGATGCATCAGGCCAGCTGGTGATTATTAGCCAGGAGCTTCTGAAGAAAGAGAGGTAAAGAGCATTACATGGACTTAATGACAGGTGTGAGGTTTTAACCACTTGATAATGACAACATCTGGAAAATGATCGTCTCGGTTAATATTCTTTGATAGTCTTTCTTACACTTGTACACTTGAAACTAGTATGTACTTGAAATTAGTAGTCCACCTTCTGTTGTATCCCTGTCATGAAGAACCATCATCTGGATTGTATTGCTTTCCAATACACCAGGATAAATGGTTACCCATGTACCATTGCTGATTGTAATCCACTCAAGAGCAATTTAAGTTAAAGACAATTACGTTGATTAAAACTGTGACCTAAACATCATTAAGCCTTTTCAGTCAATGCTACATGCTGACAGTGAATATCCTGTCACATGTGACGTGACAGATCGCTGTATCATCCTCAGTTCAAACAGTGCGGTTCTGCTCTCTCTTTACTACTATTTATAGCACGAAATAAACATGAGAAAGAAACAACTTACTGAAATTGACACTCAATGTGTCAATAAAACAATGCCAACAAACCAATTGCAAACAATGTCAGGAACCATTTGATGTTCATAGCTAGATTTTTTTTTGTGTGCTAAATATTCAAAATAATACCATATTCAATATGTTTTACTTCACCTGTTGTCTTCATTATAATGTATGTTTCAATAAATCTGCCATAAAAAAAACATTTTTATTACAGCCACCATTTAATTTTCAATTCACATTAGAACATTTCACAATACATGTTGTTTCAAAGCAGCTTTACAGACAATGCGTGTCAACATTACAATTTAGAGTGATCTGTTATCAGAGGTGACTGTCCAAGTTATGTATTTCATGTACATATACAAATCACACAGTTAGCTTATAATGTATTCCTTTAAGGCAGAAACAATGAGATCGTCGAGGTAAAGAATACATGTTTGTTAAAGGGGTCATATAATGCCATTTTTGTACAAGCTAATATGATTCTTTAGGGTCTAAATTAAAAGTTTGTAATATACTTTAATTAAAAATTCTCATTAGTATTGTAAGAAAACACTTATTTTACCTGGTCAAAAACAGCTCTGTTATCAGCACGCCGTTTCAGTGCATATGCCTTTAAATGATCATGAGCTTTGCTCACCCCGCCTCTCTGTTCTGTGCTTACACCGTTTGTAACACAATAACCATAACGCGCTGTTCATTATAAACGTGGGATTATGAATTATATTGAGAACGTTGTACATAGAAAACATGCCGTAATGTACCCTAAGTGTAAACCTTAGACGCATTCATTGTGAAGCGTGCAAGCGATTTGCAAAGATTAATATAAAGATTAATAAAACGTTACACTCACTTCAGTTGTTCTAGAGGTTCAGCAGGAACACGAATAGTTGGTACCGAAACTTTATTCATGAGCAGCTTCTTAGCAAAACCAGCTTTATACTGACCCTCCTTTATAAAGCAGTCTGCTGAGAAATGATTCGCGCAAACATGAGAGCATTGACGTTGCTCGTGGGGAATATTCCCTTCGAAAACAAACTCAGCCACTGCGTCTTCAGCGGTTCGGATTTAAGAACATTAAAATGACTGCTGTGTTCGTTATTACACCCAAGAACAGAACACCACAATCGCTTAGACGCCATTCTGCTCATAGACAGTGCTCCAGCATATCAACAATGACCGCGCCGGTCCGCGCAGACTATGATTGACAGCTGGCTCACGAGCGAGGGCGGGTCTGTGTTGAAACGCTGCTGTCAATCAACAAACGCGGGAGGGGCGTCCGACCGTGTGACGTCACACGGTCGAACGACTCGATTTGAGGCAGGGGAGAACATATAAGGAGATTAAAACAAAAACACTGGATGGATTTTTATCATTATATGATGTTTGTGTACAGGCACTGCCAACACACATTTCAGTACAATCAACTTGTAAAAGTGCATGTACCATTATATGACCCCTTTAACATGATTAGGATATATAGACATTTTTTGCATTGGTTGATTAGGATATATAGACTTTTTTGCATTGGTGCATTGGTTTAAATGTCAATAACAAATTAGTTTTTTTATATATTTAGTTTTATGCAAAATGTTGTCTTTTCCTGTGTGTGTGAATGGGAATGCGTATCAGGAGCCTGAATGAGCTTCGAGTGTTATTGCTGGAATCTCCGCGCCACTCTGCAGGAGTGGACCGGGACATTAGCCGTGAAGTTCACAGAGCGGAGTGGAGGATGAAGGAGCAGAAACTACAGGATGACATTAAAACGCTGCGGGAGAAACTTTTGCTGCTGGTGAGACACATGGGCAGAAACCTGAGACTACAGCTGTTGTCATTTGTTTTAATGGCAAACATCTTATGCCATTGACACTTTTAGGGGGCTTTCACACTGGGCTTGTTTGCTGCGGTCCGAGCGCGACAGTTCCCGGTGCCCCCGCAGCGTTGGCCTGGTTATACACTTAACTTGATTCTATCGAACCCTGGTGCACTTACGTTCATCTTACGTCATCACAAATGTGCACTCCGCATTATAGAAAACAGAACACGGTCAATATATTGTGTTTTTTCTTAATCTGGAGCTATTATGCGCAGCAGAGTAAACAACACTTGGGTTTACTGTATGTGCGTCGCATGAAGGAAGCGTTCTGCTGCTCGCAAACGGAATCTTTAGAGGAGATAGCGGATTGCCATTTATTTTCTGCCTTTATTGCACTCGCTATGTGCGATTACACTGCAGGCTCACTCTCGCTCGTATCCAAGGTAAATCATCAATGCTATCATCCCTTACGTGTGTTTTATTGAACTAAATATATCGTCATCGGCTAAACGCAGGTTACTTTTCTTCCTGAACAAGTGCGCACCCGAGTCCGTGTTGCTTTTACATTCACGTTAACGTCGAGTGCAACCAAACTCAGAACTCCTTCTTCAGGAAGTCTCGGGTTCGGTACCCGAGTGCGCACCCGGGTCCGCATGACAGCTTTCACATTAGCAATTTGTCATGCGAACCGTGTCCCGTTTCGACCTAAACTGCCAGTGTGAAAGCACCCTTAAATTAAAATGTAAGATTTTAAAAAATGTGACAGTTTTAACCTGTTTTCTATTTTAATTAATATATTTTATAATGCAATTTATTCTTGAGACGGCAAAGCTGAATTTTCCACATCATTACTCCACTCTTCAGTGTCACACGATCTTTCAGAAATCATTCTAATGCTACGTTCACACCAGACGCGAATAGCGCGTCAGGCGCGAGTGATTTCAATGTTAAGTCAATGCAAAGACGCGTTACGCGCGTAAAAAATTCCTGCGGCGCGAATGAGGCGTAGAGCGCGGCGCGGTAGACGCGAATACGCCTCATTCGCGCATCAAGTTCGCGCGAATGGCGCGAATTGAGCGTCTGGCGCGTTACACGCGAATGATGCATTTTGTGCATTCACGCGTTTGACGCGAATTCGCGTCTGCCGCCCGAGTTGAAAAATTTGAACTTCTGCGTCAATTCGCGCCGCGTTAACCAATCAGGAGCCTAGCTGCTTGCTGCTGTCACGTGGTGAAGTATCTGGATGCTTCAATAAATTATTTTGTAATTTGACGGTGGTTATAATGTAGTTCTAATGCACAACAAAGCAAATATTTTATCACATAAAACTTGATTTCAATATAGGCCTATGAGACATATTAATTTTGTATTGAATGCTATTTATTCCATATCTAGATTAGGCCTATATGAAATATTATTATAATGTAAAGACAACCAACATTCGTGTCTGGACAGTGATGTGTGTGAGAGAGAAAAAAATCACAGGACAGATTAATCACTTTTGGAGGCTGGCTCCATTTATCATCAAAACAAAAATAAATGACAGATTAGGTGGATGAGGGCGAGGGTGATCCTCGCTCCGATGCGGGACAACAGGTCATCAAGCTGGGCGCGGGACAGGCGGAAGTACCGCTGACAGCGGCCGTCATCCAGGCGCAGCTCCTGGAGCGAGCAAATGGTGAAACTCGCCACACTGGGTTCGCCTTTGAAGGGTCTGGTGGACACAAATACGGCGACGATGACCCCTACGCCACCGTTCTGCTCTCGTATTCAGAATATATGCTATTCAGAGCAAATACAGAGCGGTGACTCTCTCGATGAATGCTCGATCAACATAAAAAAAGATGGCCGGCAACGGGTTTCGATTCAGACGCGCGTAAATTTCGCTTCAAAGTTTTGTTTTTTACGCGCGTCAATTTCGCTCTTGACGCGCGAATGGATTCAAAGTGGTCAAGCGTATAACTAGACGCGGTAGGCGCGAATTTGACGCGCTATTCGCGTCCGGTGTGAACGTAGCATAATATGCTGATTTGCTGCTCGAGAAACATGTCTAATTGTTATCACAGTTGAGCTGCTTAATATGTTTGTGGAAACCATGAAACTTTTTCAGGATTATTTGATGAATCGAAGGTTAAAAAGAACATCATTTATTTGAAATAGATTTTTTGTAACAATGTAAGCATCTTTACTGTCACTAGTTTGCAGCTCACTTTTTTTCCATGTGCACTGATATATTGTTCATCCCTTTTAATTCGTACAATTTCCTTATATCAGAGTCGGGAAAGGTCGTCTCCAGACCACCGCCGATACTCTATGATGGACCCGTCTGCTTCAGACACAGAGGTAGCCCGTCTGCGTCAAAGGCTGCTGAGCACAGAAGATGCCCTGAGGAACGCTCTGGAACACAACCAACACGTGGACCAGCTAGTGCAGGCCATGCGTACCCGCCCAGACAAGAACCAGGTAAACACCTCAACCTGCTGCTGCTGCTTGGTGTTTCTTCAACTACAGGCAGTTTTTGTCCCCATTTATAATTTGTACACTGACAAAGTCCAACAGTTGAATAATTATTGAAATACTTTATTTCTTCATCTTCACAGGCACATGCTAGTGCAAATTCTGCAAATGGAATTCATCAAGAAGACACTTCCTTCACACAAGAGGTTAATTGGATTTACATTCATGCATATCCAAAGTGACTTAGAAGAGAGGAACAAAAGCAATTTGTCGAGGAGCCAACAATATCCAGATTATACAATGCCAGGTGTATTTGACAACTAGATTAGGAAGCAAGGTGTAGCAGTGTTGTCTGCTGAGATCCATCTTTCAGTCAAAGCCAGAACATTTAAGTTTGACTGACTGCAAAGGCGGAAATGAAGTCAGCTTTGTTGACAGCTTAGACAGTTACAGTCAGACAGAGAGGGTGAGAGGAGGCGGCAAGGGACCGTAGGTGCCTCAGTGTGTACTTTTATGAGTGGATATACTTCTGTGTGCCATGGACAACAAAGGGGAAACAAGAAAGTAGAAAGGGAGAAAAGAAAGGGATACTTCGTTCTGCCTGCTGTGTCTTGTTGGTGTCCTTTCTCGGTGGACTCGTGCAGGTAGAATCACAGGTCTTTCCCCAAGTTGGTCTTCATCCAGAGAAGGGCTTCACACAAAGGCTGCCGCTGCAGTAATGTTGGCGTATTAAGCACAACCTCACTGATTGCTTCAAAGCGGAGTCTACTTACTTCTTAAACAGCTCAAAGCATAGAAAGTGTAAACTAAGCGTACGTTTACACAACGACGACATGCTGTTTTCCTTTGAGTTTTCCGCGTTCAGACGACACCATTGTCAAAACGATCCTCATTCACACGGATCCGCGAAAAAGATTAAAAACGTTGTATTCTGCTGCCAGGCCATTAGATGGCACCAAAACGCCGTTGTCGTGTAAACGAACGGCCAAAACGCATAAAAAGTTTTACGTTTTTAGTTGAAAACAGTGTCGTGTAAACAGCCCCTTAGTGGCTACTAGTTTTAGTCGCTTTCGCAGATCTGTGCGAGTCGTTTTGACTGTGTTGTCTGTGCGCGGAAAACTCAAAGGAAAAACTTCTCCGTTTTAAAGGAGAACTCCGGCGCAAAATACCCCTTTTTCTCTAATTACACATTGTTACCTAGTCAACCGTTATCTGAGATTTGTTTTCATGATTATCGAATGTAAATAGTTTTATCTCTAAAAACAGTTTAGCCTATAAAGCTAGTATAACGCTAGTATATTGGGCATGGAGTAATGACAAATAAAAATCGCTTGTTAATACCACTAACAAGGCTCAAAATAGCCCCACACTAACACGGTAGCATAATGAGGGTCCCTACCTTCAAACCGAAGCATTGAGAACTTTGTCAGTGTCCAGACAGTTTAATAAGAAGATATTTTTTACATACAGTCAACTTCGCGTATACAGGCAGAAGCCATCTTTGAAAAACAGTCTCTACCAGTCGATCTACGAACGCCGATCCAAGCCTGCTGTTCGCGCTCACCTTATCACAACTTATAGCTCGTTCACATCTCACCAGCGCACTTGGATCGGCGTTCGTAGATCAATTGGTAGAGACTGTTTTTCAAAGATGGCTTCTGCCTGTATACGCGAAGTTGACTGTATGTATAAAATATCTTCTTATTAAACTGTCTGGACACTGACAAAGTTCTCAATGCTTCGGTTTGAAGGTAGGGACCCTCATTATGCTACTGTGTTAGTGTGGGGCTATAAAAATATACAGTACCTCAGATTTCTGGTCAAATCTAGTTGTACAGTCAATCGCAAAGCTCTTTCCCGTTTTAGATGTGTTTTGTGTGTTTTTCCAATAGTAACGCTGCCGCTCAGTCTTTTTGCCACTTGTGGGCGTGACCGCATTCACTCCAGCCGACGGTGACGTCATGCGCATACCCTCTATAGATGTTTTTTTTCACTCTGATCAAATAATAATGGAGAATCCTAATATTTGTTTATTATCCTAAACTCTATTTCTCTTTCTAGGAAGAACACTGATGAGGGCTAAAACAGTTCTTGGATGTTTAGGGAAGAATGGAGGTGTAATGGGAAAGAAGAAGCCAATTTGATGCCTAGACCTTTGGACTAATGCTTCACTGGACATCTTATTTTCCGTTTACAGTTAACACCAAAACAACAACTTTATAAATGAACAAACAGAAGCCACAAATTGAAGAATATCTAAAACGATCTGAGACGCTATAAAAGACATAATGGAAGTGGTTTTAAGGTCAATGGTACAACACGGACAAACCGGCACACCGATCCTGTAGACTACCTCCGAGATGGACAATGATGTCTGACTTAACAAACGAGAGAGTGTTGGTCAGGAAAACAAACAATACCCTGCTATACTCCCAGTTGGTTGTAACCAGTTGCCGTTTAGAAAACATTTTTGGCCTCAATTTTTACCGTTTAATTTATTTGCCATTTATGCTTTTCACCTTTTTTTTAAATGATAAACTGGCCAACTCTCAGCATAAGGTTTGAAGGACTTGGGCTGGTCACTAGATTCTGTAGCAAACAAGTAAATAAAAAAGACAGGCTCCCTTATTCCATACCTGCTCATTCTTGTGTTGATTTTTTTTCTTCTTTTTATCAAGACATAAGTTTTAATGTATGAATTATACAGTATTCAGCAACAATGTTCAACAGAATTAGGAAGTTAAGGTGCACCGTAAAGCTTCAAGAACCAGTATTGCAGTTTCAGTCGATATTAGTGCATACCTTTTGTAATATTATAAAATATTAGCAGACAAAGCCAACTCCCAACCTGAAGTTCAATTCAAATGATCAATGAACCAACAGCTTTCGTTTCTCGTTTTGCTGAATCCGTTTGATTGGCTTGTCTTTTAATTCAGCTGGTGGTGAGTTGTGATTGGAGTATCTTAAGGGGAGGTACTACATGCATAAGAGACATATTGGCCATATAGCAGCAAATACAATAATTCTGTTTCACCACTCAAAATACATTTAGCTACTTTCATTAGCTTTTTATTTGATTTCATTTGATCTTTATAAAAGAGCAAGAAGCATGTTTATTTACATGCACACAACTTTTTATTAAATATTTGACGGAAAAAACCTTTTGACAAAAGTGCATTTTTTATATTTTTGTCATATGCAAGTATAAAAGGAAAGCATCACCTGTAGTGCCTCCCCTTAAAACAACAAAAGACTGTTTGGCATTTTCTCTCTGATCAGATTTCTGTTTGTCTAAACAGATCTTTGCGTTATGAACTAAAAAAGAAATCTGATTTAACAGAACAATAACTGCAATCCCATAAATCAGTGTCTGCTCAATGGTATTCCAGAATTGATTCTCTCCTTTGAAAAATCATGTGGATGAAACAGAAACACTGTGCAATTAGGTCAAGTTTGTTCATAAAGCAACTTTATACTGATGTGATTGCCATTAGAACTAAGAAAGCATTTGTTTTCAATAAGAATAGGGAAAATGATAGGGCTGGCCCCAAGTTTTGCAGTTGAAATTGCTTTAGATTGCAGTTGGATTCGATAAAAATGCCTTTTATCTGTTGGGAAACTTTTCATTCACCACTTGCTGTAATGGTTTCCAAGAATCAGTAATTAAACATTAACAAAAGAAACACTTTGTAGTGTATTATTTGTAACAAATGGTTTCCTTTCATTGAAGGGTTTGTACATTAGCACTTTCCAAGTCACCACTACATGCCATACACACAATGTAATTTTTTTTTTTTTTTTTACCTAAAAATGTCATACTTTTGAATTCAGCATTTATAAAAAGGTTACTGTTGCTCTTAAAAAAAGTCATTTTACCACCATATCGGGATGCAGCAATAACCAGGTTAGTAGTCAACAAATATAGAATTTTCAATAGCCGATTCTTAATGTTACTCCCGATCCTAAATGTAAATCCTTAAAAGGTGTCAGTATTTAAAGTAGCCTACTTTGTAGTGAAATTTTCCAGTATCTTTTGGAAAGATTAAATATTCAAATTCACTTTGAGCATAATTGTGTTATTCTGTGTCAATTCTAATCAAGCTCACATATGCAAAAAAGTGAAACATTTATTTATGACAAATTAATATATATATATTTGATATTTTTTAAATGAACTAGCGAGAGTAAAAATCAACAGACTTTATTTTCTCAAAATCCACAGGACCAAACGAATCCCATATTTCATCAGGAGACATGCTTAGTAAAAAGTTATCAAAGGAATCTTCATTCCTCAAACCGTTTGGAAGATGGGAGTATATTTTTCAAGTCTAATTGGCCTTTATATTGTAAGGCAATATCCGAGAAAAAAAGAAAAGAAAAGAAAAAAGTAGTGTACTAGGTCCAAGTGAGTATACATGTCTACAAGACAAGCAAGAACATGATTTTCAACATATCGTTAGCCTCATAGCATATTTCTCGAAAGTCATATTTCAATCTTTGGAAAACAAGAAAAAACCACAAAATGACTTAGGCAATTATGCTATGAGGCTAACGATAATTGACCAGCCACTACAGAATGACAGTGTTGAGGGATAAACGCATTACAATGCTGTGCCGTTAGAGGGAGCTATAACATTACAAAATAATCTTTTTAAATCAGCCAACCTGTGAACTGAAGGCCGTTCCTCTCTTCTTATACTGTCTATGGTTCCTCTGCGCCTCTGTAGTCTTTGTTGTTGGACAGCCGTTTGTGATCAAAGATGCATCATGGTGCCTTAATATCTTGCCACATGCTGAACTATTATACAAAATTAATAGTATTAGTCCTACATTTATACTACACTGGAAATGTGTAGCCTATTAGCCTATATAAATGTTGTATAAATGAATGAATTTATGATATAAATGAAATGTGAAACTGTTTTTTGTTTGCTGGATCCTATGAGCACGACTGGTTGAAATTTGGTCAATATCCTCTTAATATCTGTCTATCACGTCTATCAGGCACCATTTTTAAGGAAACCCAGAAACTTCATTGATTTAATTCTTAGAAAATAACTTTTTTTTAATTTAACTATTTATTTTATAGATCAAAATTAAATCTGAAACATTGTTTGTCCTGACCTGGACATTCAGAAAATTGTTTATACTGTTCCAGAATTATTTCCAAAAATGTAAATAATATTCTTATAGCGCCACCTAGTGTTAGACCAATATGAGTGTTTGGGATTTGGAACCATCCCAGTTTTGGGTCTCTGATATTGGTAACAATTTACAAAAAGGTTTCATTTGCTAACATTAGTTAATGCATTAACTAGCAATGAGCAATAAATTGGAACAACATTTAATAACCTTTATTAATGTTACTTGATAAAAAAATTCACGTTAACAAAAACAACTTTTGATCTTAAAAAATATACTAGTACATTTTTAGATTAATATTAACTAAGATTAATAAATGCTGTAACAATAAACAATTATAACATGGTTCCAGCACCTTTGGTAGCCTACTTAGATACCTAATAGTAAAAAGAAAAGAAAAAGTAATTTTACTAAAATATTCATTTTATTAGAACTTTAGCTGAGGTTTATGCATTTTTCCCCTACATGCTATAATTAAAGAGTAAATGATTAAATAAATGACATTGTAACTTTATTGTGTGTTATGTTTATTCATTATATGTATCAAAATAACACACAATAAAATTACATTACAATGCCATTCATTTAATCATTTACTCTTTAATTATAGCATGTATAATTAATATATATATATATATATAAGTCAAAATCTCTAAAATCTCTCAAAATCAGCTCTTAGTAATATTAAAGATCCATTGCACAGGGCATATGAGGGCATCGTGGTTATCCACATTGCATTATCTTCATCGTATGATCAGAACTGTATTTACGGTTTCATGGAATCTGTTTTATTCCAAAACTCATCTGTATAAAACAGGGTACAGGTTGTCAGTTAAACCGTTTGCGTTTATTTGCAACGGTCTAGTTAATCTTAAAATAAAGCAACAATAACAAGGGGGGCTGTGGCGAGGGGCAGAGAGAAAAATAGAAATGTTACAGTCACAATGTCAAAAGAGTTAGTTGCTCACACATTTGTCCAGTGAGTGTCGGCGAGTGTTGCTGGTCCAGCGGTTCTTTAATCCTGTATGTAAATGACAGCCAATAGATGCTGTTGTTGAGTTGGGCTGGGATTAGCGGAGGCGAATGACTTTCAATTTTACTGGATTACAGAACAAAGAAAGGGGAAAGGGGACACACTCCTCTGTTAAAGAAAACAGAAAGAAAACGGGGCATATTGATCAAATAAACCACGTCGATTGCATTTCAGCAGACTACAAACCATTCGAGATTATGACATTTAATAAAGTCGCTATCGCCTTTCTTTAGATGGGAATTCGGCTCTCACTGTTGGATTAAACGGAGAATAAACCTATCCGGGATTGACAGCATAAGGTAATTAAACTTGGTACGGATTAAAGATAATTCTGTGTATGTATATATGAAAAAACATTTACGAGTATCGTTGTTGAGCACGTGACTTTTTATGGATGTTGAAAAAGTGAAATTACAGATTATAATTTAGGGGGAGGAGGATGGCTAGGAGTGTTAGCACACTTGCTATCATGCTAACGCGAATGTATGGCACTCAACGCGATGTTTTATACGCTTTTATGAAAGTAACACTCGTTATAATACGCTGTAGATAAGATAAACAATTAAACGCTTTTGCGCTCCGCGTTTTTGTCTAACACGAGCTGTAATTCTCTTGTTTTGTTTGTATTGTAAAAATGGCAACACAATTTGAGTGCTAGCAAGTTGCTGAAATGGAGCAATTGCATTGTTGGAAGGGTGATACAATAGAGTTAGTCGTGTTTATTTCGTACAGTTTGATAAAAATCGTCGTTGGCGTGGTCACGGACACGTTTTTCGACCTGAGAAGGTCATGTTTACAATGTCAAATCCACATATCAGTTGCTGCTAATCTGTGTCCACTATGAAGGCTGCTTTAGTGGATTATGCATAACTGGATGTGTCCCAGTAAGTTTGCGGCTGAGCAATAATATCACATGTCTCTAAACTTGCTCAGTTTTCCTCGAAGGACTTCTCGACTGTCAGATCCATTCATGAGAGTTTATGATTTATGTCATGCTGTCCCACTATGAGTCTAACTGAAACATGAACCATCCCAGAATGACTTGATGTCGGATTGGGCCTCATTGTCAAGCACTGTATAACAGTAATAGCTGTCTGTGTTTCTCTGTGGTTTTTCTTCACCCAGATTTTATATCTGACACAGTACCACAATTGTTTAGTGAACACAACTAAATGAAAATGATCATATTGAGTGTTATTTATATTGCCATGAACTGCATTAAGGGAAATTATGAAGTAGGCTGAATAAGAAATGTTACAATATTGTACATTTGTAAACAACAGGAGAAGTGAGAGTAAACTGTATGGGGAAAAAAACACTGGGATAATTATCAATTTTTCCACGAATTAAAGGAATATTTCACCCAAAAATTTAAATTCTTTCATTAAATACTTACCCTCATGTCGTTCCAAACCCTTAAGACTTTCGTTCATCTTCGGAGCACAAATGAAGATCTTTTTAATGAAACTATTCTACCACTTTGAGCTGCAAATAGTTCATAAAGAGATCGTAAAACTAATCCATATGAACTGAGTGGTTTAGTCCAAATTTTCTATTGAGACTCGATTGCTTTATGATGAACAGATTAAATTTAGGCATTTATTCAATATTCGCGCATTGATCATCAGCTTAAACAGAAGCTCAACCAAAGAGAGCAAACCTCATTGGTTCTTGCGGTAAATTTATTTTGAATTCCTAACTATAGCTTGGCCTATTTGATTAAATGGCTAGTTGAATTCTATTATTTGCATTTAGCATTGTTTTACTCAGACCTGCAACTCACCAGGTGAGAACCACTGAATCATTTTATGGTCATAGTATTGTGGAATCATTTGAATTACCTTATACAATGCTATATGGCAAACATTTAGTACCATGGTATAAAATATCATAATTTCAAGGTCTACTATGACATTGGTTTGAAAACCTGGTTGATTCACAGCTCAAAATGTTCCATTGCATTCTGATAGGTCTTTCAATCCATAAAGTCCCTTATGTTGGATATTACCTAGCAGAATGTTTTCTGTGCCCCTTAAGATGATGTTAAGCCCAATGTTTTTGTAATCTTAAGTATACATGATTATATGGTTAGTTGCATTTTATTATTTGCTGGTAATTGTTTTACTCCAACAGACCTGCAAATCACTAGTTGAGAACTACTGAATCTGACAAAAAGTACCATCTTTTATGGACATATGGTATTTTTTAATAACCTTGGAGAATCCAATATGGCATTCATTTCATATCAAAGTTTAATGATTTCAGTACTTTCTTTTTTAAAGATAAATTGGTTTAAATATTGACATTTGTCATTGCTTTAAAAAACTTTAGCTCTTAATATTGAAATGATCACATTCTGTTGAAACGGGTCTTTCAATCCACAATTTCCCATATGTTAGTTGGGTATTAGCTAAAGGATCTCTTTTAACAGTAATACATTTTTGCTACAAAAAGTAAGTCGTAAGTCTTTTCCGTCAGGACAATATCTTCCCATGCAGGCCGCAGTTCTTTGTGTTTGCTCGATGCAACATGTTTGTGTGGCCTTGGGGAAAATGTCCAGGGTGAAAAGAGTTAGGACCAATTAAAAGTCAATTATCAGCCCTTGAGCTGAACGATTTAGATACAGTTGTGTTTCTGAAGGGATCTATGAGCAGAATCTGTATAAAGGCTATTAGCAGAAGTATTGTGTATCAATGGCAGAACCACAAGCCTCTTAGGGCAAAACCGCTCATAAAACCCACGTTACCCTTTCTTGAGATGCCGGTAATATCTTTAAGCACCAAACAGGCAGTAATTCAAGAAGTAAAAGTGCAGCTACATTATGCTTCCCCCAGAGCTGAGGATCCCAGATAGCCTAAATGAAGAAAAAAAAAAAAGGATTTTGGCAGGGTGGACTCCTAACAAGGAGGAAGTCATTAATCTGAGCATTTAAGCATGTCAGTCCGGATCCTACTTTTCCTGCAATTTCTTTTAGGAGTGTCACCAGTTTTTTTTTTTTACCCTATAAAAATATATTTGTTATAGTTAACTCATGTCTTTTGACTATACTGCAAAAGAAAGCTTAGTGTAGAGAACAAAACAAGTCATTTATAGATGCAGCTTAAGGTGTCAGATGAATGTGTTTTCCCCTGCAGATAGGATAAGCCTGTTCAATGAGGAAGTTTCAACAATTTATTTGTCTTCAAAGCGTTTAGTTAAACATAAAAGTGTCAAGAGGAAGCTGTTAAATGGCCGTGACCCTTGTCATACAAAATAATTTGCTATGGCAATCATAGTTATTAATATAAGGGGGGTAAGATTCAATATTAACTCCAAACCTTAAAGGGATATTTCACCCAATCATGAAAAAAATTAATTTACTTAATTTTTGTTTCATAAGATGGACCCTTTCACATTTTCCGGAGTTCTTAGAAGTGAAAGTTGTCAAATATGATTTTTGTGTACATTTTCCCCAATAGCAAAAGAAAAATTCATGATAGTATTTCTATGACTTTCCAAAAGAGGAAAAACTGGATTTATGATGTTAATAACTGAGGAAACGCGTCATCATAGTCTGCGAAATCCATGGAAGTCAATGGTAACCATTACTGTTTGGTTACTATTCTTTCAAATATACTCTTTTGTGTTCCACAGAAGAAAGAAAGTCATACACATGCACTGAATAAAATTTGGTGTAGAAACAACTTTCACATTACAACGATGGATGTACTAAAAACCAAAGTTTTTCCTTTGTGTTTTTCGCGTACAGACCGAAAAGTTGTCAAAGCGGTCCCCGTTCACACAGATCCGCAAAACTGACAAAAAACGCTGTATTATGCTGCCAGGCCAGTAGTTGGCGCTGTTACTTTGTAAAGAAACACTGTGCCAGGGGCGGAGTGGCAATCGGGAGAGTCGGGAGTTTCCCCGGTGGGCCGGTAGTGTTTCGAGGCCGCGAGGGCCGGTCTGATAATAGTAATACATTGCAAGTTCGCCATGCGCACTTGGGGCCCAAGCGAGGGGGGGGGGGAGGTTTTTTTTTTTACATTTTCGATAACGTAGCGTATATTTGCACTAAGTGCCTCTCTTTTTAGCAAAAAGACGTCCGTCACGAAATAGCCACAGTGGCGTAGGGCGTGAAGGGCTGGAAAACAGCTTTTGACGGGTTCAACCCGAGTTCGAATCCGCCTTTTGCCGAACTCTCTCTTCTCCCTTTTCCCAACTCATATGAGATGTAAAATGTACCGCCTATACCATAAAGGTCTCTAGCGTTATATTTTGCCAACGACCTAAAATCGAAACCATGATATGGCTTTGTGCCTTTATAAAACAGCACAAGACTTTAAGTAGCCTATATAGCCATTCTGTTTGTGCTGAGTGATTGAAAGAAAAGTGCGCTCTTTGCTCACGCGATCAGCATGGTGATCTGGTGTTTTCTCCAAAATAAAAGCTCAAGGGTTTATTTCTTGCAAGTGAATAAATTAGGACAAAAGTATTTTAATTTTCCTATACTATTGTAATGTAGGCTAAAATATACTTTTGAAATATTCATTTTCATTCATACAGTACATTTATAGGCTATATGGATTTTACTAGGGGTGTAACGATACACAAACCTGACGGTTCGGTTCGTCCCACGTTTTGAGGTCTCGGTTCGGTTCATTTCGGTGGGGTGGGGGGGGGGGGGGGGGGGGTTTAGAAAGCTACAATTGCTTTTATTTTTTATTAAACAGTGCTTTAATGAACAAATTGTGTCCTTGTCTTTAAATTAATTAAATTACAAGTAAACGTTTCTCAAGGATAACAAAATTATCTGCTAATGCTGTAAACTACAGCCCTTACTTGCACATTACTATAACATTAAAGCTTAACAACAGAGCCTAGACTTTTTAGCCTAAATGATATAATAATAATCAACACTCAAATAACAAATTGTATGAAAACATGTAAACTGCACAAAAGGCAATTTTTGCATTAACATGTTTTTACTCTTTATTTGTTATTGTTATATAATAATTTACACAGTTGCTGTTATTTTCATGACAACTATTTTAAACCATACATTAAATAATCAAGATATCATAAACAGGTTAAGTAAAATATAATATATAGGCTAATATATAGCATTTATTTAGTGAAAGAGTTAGCAAACCAGCAAGCTGTGGACATTGAATGACTTGCCTGAGGTAAATATAAAGCTATGTGAAAAACTAAGCGTTTTATTGACGTATTTCCGCTGTTTACTCGAGTTATGATGCCTTTCAGTAAGTATACTGTATCTTTCAACATACCTTCGGGTGTCCATTCATGTTTATTCTGTAACTGAGGAAGAGATGATCGCGCTCCGCGCTGCCGCATGCATACAGTGATATCTGTCACGCCACATCTAAGAGCGCCAAAACGGCATTTATTGTTTGTATTTTGTGATCAAATAGACATAATTTGAAAGATTACACCTTGCTTATTATCAAAAGTAACAAAACACTGAGCTTATTGCGATTATATGTGGTTAATGGTGGTTAGGCAACAGCCCTGTATTCGTTGTGTACACATAACACATGAGGTGCAATGAGCCGGTGCTGGGCGGGGCCGCAGGGGGCGGGGCGTGTTCGGTTCGCCATGAGAGTATCGCGATACGTATCATGGGTGGTGTATCGCGGTTTTTCTGTTCGGTTCAAATATCGTTACACCCCTAGATTTTACGTCATATAAATAATTATATAAATCATTATTACATTATTATAATAATTGTTTGGCATCCTAAAACACCATTGATAATGTAATGTAGACTGAGACTCTCATAACTAAAAAGATGTTTGATCCCTCTTTAATGTCCTGGTACAAATCAATGCTTTTTCTTTGTTCAATGAGCAGTTCATGGGTTGGAGCTCTCAAAGAGCACCAGATTGATGCATTTAACCTTAAAATGTACAAAATTTTATTGCGGGGGACCATGCCCCCGAACCCCCCTAGAGGCACAGAGGTCCACGCAAAAAAATCCTATGTTGAAAGAACAACCATTTATGAACTTTACTCCAGCATAGTACAACAAAGTTCCTTTTAAGTCAGTAATGGCGCTTTTCCATTACCAGTACCAGCTCGACTCGACTCGCCTTGGCTCGCCTCGACTCGGCTCGCTTTTCGCTCCGTTTTCCATTGCAGAAAGTACCGCCACAAATAGTACCCGGTCGTCATAGCGACGCATTTCGTTCCTCGTTGCCCCATCAAGCTCTCGCTGGATCCTCTCTTCGGCAACCAAACAAAGGAATGTCTGCACCTCCTCGTTTGACCACGGCGTATTCTTCCGAGTTGCCATAATACTAGTAAGTAAGTTTAGTAACTATCTCTGGCCAAACTATTTAAAAATGGCGGGGTTATTCTGGATACTCCATCTGGCGCGTGCAATGATGACGCAGATTCTCTGTGACCAATCAGCAGTCGGCATTGTTTTCACGTCACATTTTAGTATCGGCTTAGCTCGCCTCAGCTCGCTTAGAACCTCGCCGGAGGTGGTACGAAAAAAAGTACCCGAAAGCAGGTACAGGTACAACTTTTACACAGTGGAAAACCAAACAAAGGCGAGTCGAGTCGAGCCGAGCCGAGCCGAGGCGAGCTGGTACTGTGTAGTGGAAAAGCGCCATTAAACTGTAAATGCCATGCCATTTTGTCCAAGGACAAAATATACATTTGGCCTGCCTAAGAGGGGGCCTACAAGACATTGTGCCCAGGGGCCTCTGAGCTCTTAATCCGGCCCTGCCGGCGACGAGGGCCGGTGGTCTAGGAAATTTCTCGGTAGATTTTTGGGTCCCACTCCGCCCCTGCACCGTACGCACCTATAGACTGAATTTGTGTTTTTTTTTTTTTGCTTACACAGAGACGATAACGGTGTTGTTTTCAAAAACACATTATGAAACATGTTTTCAGGCCCCTATGGCTCGTTGTCGTGTTAATGAGCAGCCAAAATGCATAAGAAGTTTAAGTCATAAGATGTGTTTTGGTCAGTTTGATCACAAGTGGTCGACACTAAATATAAGTGTTAATGGCTTATCAACTTTCAACCGCTTCCTCCTTGGTCGAAGAAGCATTCGACCGGATTGTTTTGGTTGTGTAAACGCTCATGTGGTCAAATGCGTTCAAACAGCCACAGAAGACCGCCTACTCTCCACCTACTGACCTAATGCGTAAACATTATGGGAAGCGCTGGCCAGATTTAAACTTTGTCGGCTGGAAACCCAAGTTTGGATTGAAGACGAACAATTTACCAAGTACAATGTTCTCTCACTATTCCTGATTTCTAACACACACTCCCAGCGTTCGGTGTGATCTTGCGGCTGTCAGAGCAGAAACGAAAGCTGGTGCTCTCTGTGTGTTTTTCCGTCGTCTCCGTAAATGTAAAGAATGCAAACAAAATGTAAATCGTTCATGTAAATTTTGTCCATTAAAATTTTGTCAGCCCATAGACCTTCCCTCGAAGAAATCAGGACAGTGGTTGAAGCGAATAAAAGAGATGTATTAAAACACCAGCCCCAGACTTAAATGCATGTTTGACTCTGAATTATCTCAAAATATGTCAGTGTCATTGTTTGTCTCAAGATGCACACCACTAATATATATATTTTTTTTAATCTTGGCTTTTGGATGTGATAAAATGGGTGAAAAAATCTTACGGATGATGTTTTGAAGGAGGGACCCTTCATAGCTTCCTCATAGCAAATTATGACGTCAAGTATGGCATGTGCAACCAGTGCTCACGTTTTCTTTGGAAAATGTCAAAATCTTCTTAGTTTTATTGTCTGTGAACTTCATCCTAAACATGCAATGTAAGTTGTGCCGATTCTAACGTTCTGATGCTAAAGCGACGATGACTATAACGTTAACAATAAAGATATAGTTCTAAATATAAAAGAATAGCAGAGGCCACACCACAACTGCAATGATAACGGCACAGAGAAACGATATCGTTGGAATCACTTTCAGAATGATTTTTCCTCTAGATTACAAACAATTAAACCTTTGACAGCCAATCAGAATCCATCCTACTTTAAAGAGCTCGAGCATTTAAAGCGCTAGACGATATAACTGCAGCGTGCAATAAATGGAACGATATCATCCGCTGGTGTGGACGCTAATATAGTTATTTTTATAGTTATGGTTCTTAGTGTAAACAGGCCTTTAGATTTGGCTATTTGAATGAATCGGAAAGCGAACTGGAGATAACAAGGTGCTGCTGTTGTCGTTTCAGTGTTGTACGTAATATTACACTCAGGCAGAGGCATCCGGCCTTGTAGCAGGATTTATAGGAGGTTTCCAGACGACTAATAGTAGTACTGGGCTCTCTCTGTGCAGTCTGTGGTTTTGGCTTTGCCCGGAGGCTGGGATAATGGCTCCCAGTGTCTGGAGAGATTAAAGGCCAGAGCTGCATTGTTCACATGCCTCGAGATTAGTTTCCAAGGAAACGGATTGTGGTTGCCATGTGAACACAAGGCCCGGAATTAGGATTGTGTTAGTGATTTATTTATTTATTTGTTTTACAGCTCACATTTGTCATCCCTGTTGTTTTTGTTTGTTTTTCATCTTTAAACTGTCTTTGTTAGCGCTCATATTTAAGCCCAGTCTCGTCCGTACTCAAGTTTACAGCACTGTAGTTTAGGGACGACGTGTCTAAAATCGAGATTGGAGGCGTCAGGGGGCGTCTGTCGAGAGGGACGGGTAAAGTACTTCACTTTAGGGGTCTCATGCTTCCAGGCCCTGTCTTGCTTCCAAGGAGAACAAATTAAGGATGAAGGGTTTTAAGGCAATAATCTGAGCTAGCTTTAATTGGTTGACAAAGGCTTATCGTAATTAGCTACTTTCACATGTGTGTGACGGATTTTGGTGTATTAGCACAGGAGAGGGTATTACTATCACTTCCCAAAGCTTCTTATAGGTTTTTCCATCCTTCAATACGTTTTGTACAGCCGCAAATATTGAAAAAAGTTACTGGGGAACTTGAAACCTTTCTACTCTTTTAGGTTTGTTTTTGCACATAATTATAACACTATTAATCTGCTAAGGGGTAATTACAGTGCTGGTCAGAATTATTTGCCCCCTTGGTAAATATGATCAAAGATGGCTTTAAAAAATAAATCTGCATTGTTTATCCTTTTAATATTTTATTAAACAAAATTCAATTAATTAAGAAATTAAAAAAACAGAATTGCAACAGATGCTTGGTTTTGTGCTCAGTGACCCATTTTTGTTTTGATTTAAATTTTTGTTTTTTGATTTTGACTAGACTAAAACTCTTAACTCATACATCTAGTATGCATGCAGTACTATACAGAAGTCTACTTGCAAACTTGCAGTACTGTGAAATGTTTTTTGGGCTAAAAAAACCCCTAAAATGCTGTAAAGTGAAGATGTTTTCTAAAACAATGCCATGATAGAGCTTATTTATTAATAAACTTCTATTAAATCAATCCTTGGTACACTATTTACTATTTTTACGGGTAGTTTGCCACAGTTCTTCTGCTTCTGTCTCTTCATATAATCAGACAGATTTGATGACGGTGAGATCAGATCTCTGCGTGGGCCATCCCATCTGTTGTAGGACCTCTTGTTCATACAATTCATTTCAATATATGACACAAACCCAGAAAAGGCTAATAATAATTACATACAAATAAACAAACAAACAAACAAACAACAAAACCATGTTACATAGAACACATTATTCTTAAATCCCTAACCTTCAAATTCCCTTAAAAGCTTTTTTTAAAATTCAGATAATATGTGTAAAGAGTTCAAACTTTCCTACAAGCAGACTAAAAGAAAATATATAAATTAGCAACTTGTTGTGCCTAAATGTACCTAAAGACTAATATTTATGTTACAAAAGATTTCTGTTTAAAAATAAATGCTTTCAAATGTTCTATTCATCAAAGAATCCTGATTTTTTTAATCACGTTTCCACAAAAATGTGAAGCAGCAGAACCTTGATAATAATAGTGTGCACCAAATCTGCATATTAAAATGATTACTGACATGAGTCATATGTTTGTGAATCCGACTACACTGAATAATTGCGCTATTTGTTTTTCTGTGTATCCTACTGTACATGTCAACTCAATAGCAAGAGATGCTTTGTTTTGACCGTTATTTTGTAGATTGTACATCTGTCGCTTACTTACGGCATCAATTTATTTGTCAAATTAAATATGGTATCTGTTTTTGAACAACTTTTGGCGCAACAGCTGTTATGTTTTATTTAGTGAGTAATTAAGTTTATATTTGATGTGCATTTCATTCCGTGTCTTTCCCTCAGAAGAATGGCACAGATACGGAAGCTGGGCTGTGATGGGATGAGGACCAACTCTCGGCCAGAGCTCAAAGTTCCCCAAGTGTCAGCCAGACAAGAGATCCTCACCAGCCTAGTGTCTGCTCTGGACTCTGTGGTAAGACTGTTTAAAGATACTTACAGTGAGAGTATAATGCAACTTATTTGTGCTGGATGACTTGAATCAAACCGTGTTTGCAGTGCACTGCCATGTCTAAACTGAATGCTGAGGTGGCCTGTGTCACTGTGCACGAGGACAGCGTGATCGCCGTGGGAACAGAGAAGGGAAGAATCTTCCTAAACTCCAGAAAGGAAATACAGACAGACTTTCACAAGTTCTGCAGTGAGTCAACATGAAATCCAAAATTTACCCTTTTTGCTTTCTTAATACATATGTTATTCTATAGTAAAAAAGGGTTTTCATGGCAAATTGTCTTGGCAATTATAACCGTTAGGGGTGTAATGGATCGTAGTTGATCCGTGATCCGTATGGACCAGGCCCCACGGTTCAGCACACTTGATTCATTGAAAAATGTAACTATTATAGAATGGAAGTTTATTTTCACATATTTGGTCTTGCCACCAGAATGAAACAGTTGGAATGTCAAATCAGATAAATGTTTTACTGTAAAAACAAAATTAAAGTTGTATAACACATTTGAGTAATCTCAAAAGTTAACATATAATTTATGAAATAAATATATAAAAATCTGCATCGTTTTTATATCATATTTTTACCAATATTGCAATATTGTCATGAAGATTTATAACATATACTACTGTTCAAATATTTAGGGTCAGTGAGATTTTTTTGTCTTTTTGTTTTTGAAGGAATTTAGTTCTATTATTCTGCAACTTAGGATGCATTAAAAGTAACATTAAAGATGTTTATAATGTTACGAGAGATTTCTATTTCAAATAAATTTTAATAAATAATTATTTTCAATTGTAATCATATTTCAGAATATTACTGTTTCTACTGTACTGTATTTTTGATTATGAAAAAAAATCTTTTGAACGGTCGTGTATGCAATCCTCATATAACAGTACAGGTGTTTCGAAGCTATTTGTGCTGTTTCCTCAGAAATAACAGATTTATTTTCCACAGAAGTGTCCTGTCTGCAAGCATTAACTTCCATGAACTCCCACGCCAAAGCTCCTGATGTGGACTGCAGCAGGACTGGCAAAGACTGCGGGCAGCAGGGCAGACAGAGAGCCTTAACAGACACTCATTCCAACATCTTCGTCCTAAGGAAGATGGTGGAGGAGGTGTTCAGCGTGCTTTATAGTAAGTTGACAGTAGTTGATTAGGGTTTTCTTCACATTTTTATGGGATGAAACGCAAAAAAGGGATGTACAGTATTTGGCACAAAAGCAAAACCATCATTATCCACTTAAATGTAATGTTTTAGGTGAGGCTGTTGGGAAGAGCAGCCTGGTCCCTGTGCCTTATGACTGGATTCTCAAGGATCCCAGCTCAGTGGTTGTCTACGGCCTGCCTGATGGTGTGACTTTGAGAAAGCCTTCGGAATATGACACCAAGACCTTAATGAAGATCTTAGAGCAGAGCAACCGCATCCGCTTCATAGTCAAAAGGTCAGTCTTCTAGTTGATTTTTTTTTTTTTATAATACACTGGAAAGAATGCAAATGCCTGTTTTTTTTCTGCACAAAAGATTGTAAAATTAAATGGAAAAAAATGCATCTCTTTAAACTCCTTTACATAAAAAATTCAAACTATGACGATTTAACGTTTTTTTTTCCGCAGGGTATGTGATTTTCTTTCCTGTAAAACACAAATAAGACAAAAGCTTTTGGTCAGGTGTTTCTTACCATTTTAGATAGAGGTTGTTATTGCTGTCAGAGAACAAGGAAATGGATAAAAGCAACAAAAATAACAAGAGGAATGAAAAAGTAAAATGTCAAAACGTGCTGACAAAATGGAAATAATCTACATAGTCTAAAATTAGATTTTGTAATATTAATCTAGGATGCACCAAATTGCTAAAAAGTGACAGTAAAGATTTTTACATAATTACAAAACAAATCTTTCAAATAAATGCTGTTCTTTTGAACTTTCTCTTTATCAAATAATTCTGTAGCGTGGTTTTCACAAAAATATTAAGCAGTTTTCAACATTTATAATAATAATAAATGTTTCTTGATCTCCCAATCAGCATATTAGAATGATTTCTGAAGGATCATGTGACACTGGAGACTGGAGTAATAATGCTGAAAATTCAGCTTTACCATCACAGGAATACATTACATTTTAAAATATAATTAAATAGATAACAGTTTTTCTAAATTGTAATAATATTTCACAAGATTAAAATTTTTCTACTGTATTTTCATGTTATATGTTATTATTGTATGTTATTTATACATTATATATATTTAATATATATAAATATAATGCATGTCTTTTATGGATTCTGTAATAAAGAAAGTATATAAAGTATATATATTATATGTGTGTTTTACATTATAATAACTGAATCTATTGTCAGGTGGGTTGTATTTTGAAGTAAATCATATGAATGGCTGCTTTCATTCAAACATTTTTTTTTTGGTGAAATGGAATGAAGTTCATTGGTGTGAATTTTGTGTGTGTATTTTAATAGAACACCAGAGGAACCCTCTCGGGATGCCAAATCCTGTCCGGAAGTCAACCATCAATCTTCGACCTCAAAGAGCGTAAGCAACCACGCCTCCGTCAAACCCTCCATGCAGGAAGTGTCTGCTAGCAACTCCATGCTCTCCAGCTTCCTGTACGGCATGCCCATGTCCTCCCAGCCCCACCCAGACAGCAAGCTGGACCTGAAGCCCACATCACTGCACTGCGTTGGTAAAGAGCGGCTGGGCATGTGGGCGTCCGCTGAGGAGAAAGCGGTTCAGGCCAAGGAATGTGCTGACAATGGTTAGAGCCTCCTGTCGTCTTTCTATATACACTGGCTTCCACTACCTTTCTATGGAAATGAATCACTGTTGCACTTATGATGAGTGATATCACACGTGTAGATGCTGAACCATGTGGATATTCTTCTTTTTTATGTGCTTAACTCTGTGTGTGTGTCTCTTCCAGGCGAACGAATAGGGCTGGCAGCGGATCTTACCCAGAGCCCTCCCAGCATCCATGTCTCCAAGCGCCTTCTGTTCTCCATAGTGCATGAAAAATCAGGTGGGCGACAGACTGTACTCGCCATTACAGCGTCTGGCCAAGGACAAGCTGGCCTTCATTTCAGTGGGTTTTATGGGGTCCCAAGCAGTGCGTCTAATAGAGCTAGAACAGGATAAATACCAAGTTAGTTTCCACCCCAAAATACAAACACAAGGAATCTTCACAACACTATAAAGTGATAGTTCACCTAAAAATCAAGGTTCTGCCATTATTTATTCACCCTCATGCCATTCCAAAACTTGTATGATGCTATATCTTCAGTGGTACATAAAAGGAGAATTTTTGAGGAATGTTAATGTAGCTTCTTATATCAATATTTCACAGTGTTCTGAAAAGACAGAAAAAAATCACTATGTTCAAAGTCTTCTGAAGCCATATAATAACTTTACATGTGACAATGGAAAATTATTTTTTTGTTATTATTCCCTGATAATGTTCCTCTTCACTATAGCGCTCAAATTACCATGCCATCATTGAAGTCAGTAATTATATATACGTATATATATAGGTAACAGACATAAATGACACAAGATCACCATCCTTTTTAAAGCAAGACATTACAGGTAAATACTCTCACCATGCTCACATACTACACCATATGATTCATATGTTAATATGTAAAAAAATACAAATGAGGCATTATCTAATTAAACATGCACTCATTTGCATACATTTCTAGAAAATAAATCTGAACATTGTGTAAAGCCAGTTTCAAACTTTCAGAATACAGAATAAAACTGTTAAGTTTGGTGTATGTAAGACACAAAATGATAAAGTGTAATAAAACATTATTGTTGTCCATTTCAGAGAGTTGATAGAGGGTATATAGGGTGTGTTAGCAAATTAGTCTTTTTTTTTTTAAGCTTGACATATTGACACGCTTACTAATAAACTGTTGTTTAGTTTATAAAAAAAAGCAGCATGATGATTCTTCAGAAAATAACAGCATATGGGTTTGGAGTGATTCAGTGATTAAACAACAACAGAATTCCCTCCAGTAAGAAAACACAGCTAATGTATAATTTAAACTCCCCGTAAATAAATCAATCATAGCTAACGATCCACAAAGTATTCTTTATATATCGGTGGTATTTGTTTAGATATGGCTCCAGGCGAATGAGACATAAAGAGGGCTGGTTTTGGCAGAGTGAGCAGTAGTAATGGGAGTTTGGCCAGGTCACCTGGGCTACCGAAGTCTGTTCCTCTCTAAAGATCAGCGTGAAATCTTCAGTCACTGCAGAGAGTCAGGACCTGCCTTAATTGTCTCCTATGTCTAAACGAACCGAGGAAAACCTCAATGTACCCAAATACATTTCAGAAAATGTCAACAGTCAGGGAACATATGAAAGATTGTTACATGATACAGTTTTGTTTTGTATTGCATGCACAGAAAAATGGGACTCGTTCATCAGGGAGACCGAGGATATCAACACCCTTCGAGAATGTGTTCAGATCCTCTTCAACAGCAGATATGGTGAGCTCTCAGTGCACAATTCACAGCCATACCACTATACAATAATTGTAATAAATGCATATTGATTGAGAAAGTGTGTAGAGCTGATGTGTGTACTTTTTAACCCTTTAAAGTTTGACATATGAAATAATCTTTTTTTTTTTTTGAAATGGAACTGTTTATTGAACCTTTAGACTCAATCTAAAAAAATCTAAACCAGTTTGCATACAAGTTTTTTGTTGAGTATCATATTTGATACATCAGGCTTTTATGGCTCTTATAGTATGATATAGGAGAATATGGAGCTCATAATTGAGGTGGAAAAAAACACCTACATTTTATGAGCAAGAATATACAATTTGGTGCATTTTTATATGACCAAAATATAAGATGAAATTCTAATAGCTTGTAATATAAATCAATGAGATCTTTATAATAGTATAACAGGATATTAATGCAGAAATATCAGTTATACAAAAATAATATACAATTATTATAATTTTATGATCAAAACTCTATTGTGGGGGCAAATCATATAATGCAATGCAATTCCTCAAAAGTCTGATGTATCATATTTGATACTCATTTTACCTTGTATGTATGGATAATCAAGTAAACCTAAGTTCCTTTAGTCAGCTAGTTTTCCAGTGTGTCACGACACACGAGAGAAACAGTAGATCCAAGTGCAGTGAGATATTTATTGGGTAATCCGTGAAACGTAATCCAGTCCAGGCAAGGGTCAAATACCATACAAGCAATCCAAACAAGAACAACGAACAGGCAGGAACAAACCAAGAAGTGTGAGACATTAACAACGACTCCGTACACATACTAACACAGACAGGGAATATATACACATATCTAACAAGACTAACACAGAACAGCTGAGTGCAATGAACTGATGAGTGACAGTGACAGACAGAATGCTGGGAATTGAAGTCAAATGTAAAGGACACCGTGAAAACGAGGACCTCTAGTGATAAACAAGGGAACACAACCAGACACTGTTACATAACCCCCCCTCTACGGAGCGGCTACCAGACGCTCCACGACAACACTAAAACATGATACAAGTGTTCAGGAGGGAGGTGGAACGGTGGAGGATCAGGGGAGGGATGGTGGGCCAGGTCCGTGAAGGGAGACAGGAACAAGGGGTGAGGCCTTAACCGGGGACCAGGGCAAAACACAGAGTCCATCGGGCATCCAGGGCGAATCACAGAGTCCATCGGGCGGCCAGGGCGAAACAGAGAATCCTTTGGGTGGCCAGGGCGGTTAAGACCCCTCGGGCGGCCAGGGCGGTGAAGACCCCTCGGGTGGCAGAGGCTCTGGAACAGCAGACACCGGCTCTGGAACAGACGGCACCGGCTCCGGCTCTAGAACAGCCACTGGCTCCAGCTCTGGAACACACACTGGCACTGGCTCCGGCTCAGGAATAGCAGACACCGACTCTGGAACAGCAGGCACTGGCTTCGGCTCTGGAACAGGCATTAGCTCAGGAACAGACACCGGCTCAGGAACAGACACCAAAACTGTAACAGCCACAAGAACAGACACAAACACAGAAACAAACACTGGTTCAGGAACAGGCGCTGGCTCCGGCTCAGGTACAACAGACACAGGCTCCGGCTCTGGAACAGGCACTGGCTCTGGAACAGCAGACACTGGCTCCGGCTCTGGAACAGCAGACACTTGACTCGGGACCACTGGACTCGGGACCACCGGAACTGGGACCACCGGAACTGGGACCACCGGAAACCCAGCGGTCTGCACTGGGACGCCCTCCAAAATGACTGCATGCTGTACAGGGACGGCCTCTGAAATAACCGCATGCTGCACAGGGACGGCCTCCAAAATGGCCGCACGCTGCACAGGGACGGCCTCTGAAATGACCGCATGCTGCACAGGGACGACCACCGGGGTGTTGGGGAGATAAGAGGCCCTTCTCCTCCTCCTCCGTCCTTGATGGCAAGGTGCAGCCTCAGTACTAGACGGGACCAGCGGCGAGGACTTTGGACTGGACAGGACAAGTGGTGAGGACCTTGGGCTGGACGAAACCAGTGGCGAGGGCTTTATGATGGATGGGACCAGCGGCGAAGATCTTGTGCTGGGCGGAACCAGCGGCAAGGATCTTGTGTTGGACGGCACCAGTGGTGAGGACCTTGCGCTAGATGAGCCCCGCGATGATGACTTTGTGCGGGGTGGAACCAGCGGCGAGGATCTTGTACTGGACCAGTCCGGCGGCTCCGGATCAGAAGAATGGCAAGGCGGAGGACGGTGTCGTGGAATTTGTCGACCACCTCCTCCCCTGCAACCTCCCCGAGTTCCGGAGAACTTCGCCAGACGAGTCCCCAGAAACGACTCACCATCTCTGATGGACGAGTTCGCTGAAGCCTTAGCCACCGCTGCTTCCTCAGTCTGCTGGGCCCATAAGCCAAAACATTGAAAAATGTTTAGTCGAGGCGCTTCCTCCCCGACCTGCGAACCTCCTCTCTGTGGTCCCCTTCCTTCCCCATACACAGGAGAAGGATTATGGAATCCCGAACTGCTGGATCTATTCATCGGGACGGAGTCGTTCTGTCACGACACACGAGAGAAACAGTAGATCCAAGTGCAGTGAGATATTTATTGGGTAATCCATGAAACGTAATCCAGTCCAGGCAAGGGTCAAATACCATACAAGCAATCCAAACAAGAACAACGAACACAAGGAACAGGCAGGAACAAACCAAGAAGTGTGAGACATTAACAACGACTCCGTACACATACTAACACAGACAGGGAATATATACACATATCTAACAAGACTAACACAGAACAGCTGGGAACAATGATTACGGGGAACAGCTGAGTGCAATGAACTGATGAGTGACAGACAGAATGCTGGGAATTGAAGTCAAATGTGAAGGACACCGTGAAAACGAGGACCTCTAGTGATAAACAAGGGAACACAACCAGACACTGTGACACAGTGTTCATATTGAAATATTACTAATATAAAATGTCTTACATTTTACTTTATAAAAAACAGTAGAGATTTCACAGCAAAAAGACGTGAAGCACAACCTGAAGAGAGACGGAATATTATTTTACTAAAACCCCTTTTACTTGCTAATAAAATATGAACTATCAATCAGATGACTGAAGACATGTAGTAGATTTTGTACAACAGGTTTTTCAGCAAAGTTTTGATCACGTTGATAGTTTAGAGGCCTTAGAAACTTGCTTATCAAATATGATACAGTATGCTTTATAGGGCTCTCATCACAGCTTAATATGCGGAGAACTGTAAGTAAACCATTAGTAGCTTGATCCCCCCAAAAAGTATAAATACTGTGTCTCTGTGGTGCTATATAAAACAGCCAGCAAAGCAACATTGGCTCAACATGGTGTGCGTTCAGGGCGGGATCACCTTTTTGACTGACCAATGGCAGTTGGGGGATTGTTTAAAAATCGTTTTAAAAACAATTTTTCTTTTTCAATTCGGTTTTGGAACTCTGGTAGCGCAGACATTACATGCTTCAGCTTTAACTCATCACATAACTAATGTTCATTTCAGCTGAGGCATTAGGCCTGGATCACATGGTTCCTGTGCCGTACCGTAAAATCGCCTGTGATCCTGAGGCGGTGGAGATCATTGGAATTCCAGACAAGATTCCCTTCAAGAGACCATGCACTTACGGTGTGCCTAAACTCAAACGGATCCTGGAGGAAAGGCATGCTGTCCGCTTCGTTGTCAGAAGGTTCGAGACTCCATCTGAGCATACTTTTATTTTGAGGACTAATCTTGACCTGACTAAGGAGATTTCCTTACGTGACATAGCTGCTCAATTAAGTACATCACCAACATAGTTAAACTGCTACAGCGGCAGTGTGATTTGTAGCTCTTCCAATTTCAACGTGTGACGGCGGTGTCAGAGATTGAATTACTGATAACCTTTCATTTTTGGTCATGTAATTAACTGTGGGGCTCATTGAAAATGAATCCAGATATTGGTACTGGAGTTTTTAATTTGCTTCATCTGAAAAAAAAAGAAAAAAAAAGTCTAGCCGTCTTTGCCATCTGGCAGAGCAGCACTAGGCATCCAAAGTGGAGCGTCATGCTGGCTGTAACCGCTGCCATACATGAGCCAGCGTGGAGCCGCTGATTTGGCATAATGAGGAAATCTCCTGCTGTTCGGCACCAGACATGCGTAGACAGCATTTCAGATTTTTAATATGTTTAAGCTGGTCTTACAGGAACTAACAATTTTCTTTTTTCTTTTCTTAGAATGTTTGATGAACGGATCTTTACTGGTAGGTATTTCCTGAACCAGAATCCATCTGACTTATTACATTGTAATAGCATTGTTATAACATAACTTGGTTACACTTTATTTTAAGGTGCTGTTGTTACACTGTAATTATACATTTAAAGCTGCAGTCCGTAGCTTTTTTGGGGTTAAAAATGATCCAAAATACATATTTGAGAAAATACATAACCAGCCAGTGTTCAAAACTATCTGCTTGCCTTAGCTCGATTCAAAGCGGTAAGCTTGTAATAATGTTTTTAATTCCAGTGGTACTGGTGGATTTCCGCGGGAGATTCGAGCATGTCTTTGCGTCATTACGACACATCTGTACACATAAAGAGGGAGTCTCGGCTAGTAGGCTATATTGCGTGTGAGGATGCTGGAGGTGGAGATTTATAGCCTTTTCTCACAGCACTTGATATAATTAAACTTCTCAATATAATGGCGGATCCAGAAAGGTTCAAACGACAATCACCAGTGACAACTAGAGATTCACCCGCTGTAAAATGCAAAAGACTTCGTTCGGACTTCGGAGTGGCTACAGAAAAAAAGAGAGTGCAACCGGACACATGCGAAAACAAGGATACATATCGGAAGGACATTAGTGTAGACATGTAGTCACGCAATGCTGACGTTGTTAACATTAACAATTTGAGAACAAAGTATAATTTGCATGGTTTTACGTGATATGATAAGCGATTTTTAGATTTAATCAGCGTGATTTACTGCAGTGTCAGAACCAGAACAAAAGTGGATGTTACTTGTTCAGATGACATTTTCCGGTGAAAATTATTATCTTGGTCATACATCCAAAAAGATAATCTGTGATTCTGAATGCCAGTATCCACACCGGCGCGTGACTGACAGCTGCACACTCTCCTCAAACATTGTGTTCATCCGCGCTGTGCCGTGTTGAAGTACAACTCACGTAAAGTTGATAATTCCGCGAATGACTGCAATTGCAGATTTCGAACAGAGATGGCGACAAAGAGGAAAAACTGCGGACTGCAGCTTTAAGTACTGAGTAACTACATGTACTTACTGAAGGGTTAGGATTAGGGTTTGATTTGGTTTAGGGTTAGTTTCATGTAATTATGCATAATTTATAGTTATTACTATAGTAACTACATGTAAAATGTAACAATGACACTGTAAGATAAAGTGTTACCCATAACTTTGCACCCTTTCTGAACTGTAAGTGAAAATGTCTTGTTGTTATCTTAAGGAGCTATTTTTACCCCATCTGACCCTTAAAAAAAGTACACTCATTGGTGTGACCTATTATAATCAAGTTGGCAAAAGGCAATTTTTTTTATATAATGTACAGTATGTGTATGTTAAACTTGTCTTTTCACAATGTTTGTAAGCTGCTGGTAAAGTAGCTAAGGAGGAGGGCAAACAGGATGGTGTCGGCCTCGAGGACGGTTTCCCAGATGGCCTCAGGGTGCCGAGCTCTTCCCTAGAGCTGGTCAGCAACACTCACAGTAGCAGGTACCTTGCCCTGTCACCACAGAAGAACAGTATTGCTATGTTCTTAGATAGTTTGCATTTGTATTTTCCTGTAATGATACACTGACAGAACGTTTTGACTGCAAAAATGAACCAAAATTACTGAAACAGATCTGGTAACTTTGACATGGATAAAAAGCCCCAAAAAATGTGACAATAAATTAAATAAAATTAACGAATAAATTAATGAATTAAAACATATTTTTACATTTTCCATATTAAAACAAAGCAACCATATTTGCATACATTTTCTTTATAAGTATAACTGTCATGGACATATTGCAATCATGTACTTGCCCATGTACTTAGACAGTGAGAGACTCTAAACATCCCATGTTAGGCTGTGCTTATATTATAAAGAAAAAAAAAATCAGTTAGAGTTAATGAGTAAAGGCCTGTTTATTCCTTAGAATAATGACTCTAATAACGATAACAATCACTACATTAGCATCAACGCCAATGAACAATATCGTTCTGTTTATTATAACCATGATAAACAGTTTTATCATCTGCTGCTTTAAATGCTCTTTAAAGGAAGATGGATTCTGATTGGCTGTCAATGTTTTATCGTTCATCAGCCTGGGGAAATAAAACCTTTGTGGAAGTGATTCCAACGATATCATTTCTCTGTGCTGTTTTTGTTATAGTTGTGGTGTGGACTTTGCTATTCTTTTACATTTAGATATCTTTATCGTCCTTGGTGTGAATGGGCCTTAATTCTCGGTTTTCTGCAGATATTTATTTGATTTAAAAAATGTATAGGCTAACAGAATGTATGGGTCTTCAAAACAAACCATTTAAAGTGAGAATTTAGCCTTTTTAACTAGTGTGTCAGATGTTCCGCTTTAGGCCAAGAAATTTCATTTGGGTGCATCACTTCCCCCCCCCCCCCCCTGTAATTAAGAAGAAAGTAGAAAGGTAATTAATAAAGATGGAAATTTTGTTATTTATTTTTTTTCAGATCGACTAGCTCCTGTGTCAGTCCTTTGGCTGAGTGTGAAGCAGGTAGATCTTCTGCTCATCGTTTTAATACAACTTTGGCTTCTGCACTGTAGCTTTATGAATCTGAAACTTATTTTATCTGTAAAATTCAAAATAATTCATTAGGATTTATTTTCCAGGGCCATCTGGAGACTGCCTGCCTTTGAAAAAGATCAAAACAGAACCCCCAGATGGTGAAATTATCCAGGTGACAGTGCCAGGTATGGGCTCCCAGTCCCACAGTAAGGCTCACACTGAGAGTTTTAATATTTCGGCCCTGGCGCCTCAAGTTTTTTTTTCTCTTTTTGGCGTTATTGTCAGTTGACAACAAGCATCTGTGCAGAAATTTAAATAAAGTTTTGAGTTGAACGCAGCATGAAATCCCTGTAGGTCTACATGGATATGAAGGCATTAGCATATTCCACTTACTCGCAGAGAGGAAGTTTGTCTTTGATGGTTGCCTTCTGATTTAAAAATATTTGCTCTCATTTTCCACCCTGCTGTGCAGTGATCTGAGCCTTTGAGGACAGACAGGGCATTTTGCATTACATGGCACATTCATAGGCTGAACACTGTGAACTGAAGGAACATCATATATAAACTGAAAATTTGAGCTCAAGTGCTACATTAACAGTGTTGCAAAACATTCTGGCCAAATATAATACTTTCTCCATCTCTGAAACCACTCTTAATCCAATTCCAAACACCTGTCAAACAAACCCAATCAATCCTTGATATATAAAATCAATTCCAGACTAGGTTTAGTATGTCGTTTAGTATCCTATTTCACTTGGAAATATGTCGTATTATGGAACGATTGTGAATGCTGCATAATGTCGAATTTAAAAACATCTTGAAATCAAATTGGGCTCTATTTACTTTCTTAATGAATGTCACTGGTTTATACAAAATGTACCGTTCAAAAGTTAGGGTTCAATCAAGTTTAAAAAAAAAAAAATTATAGCAAGGATGCATTACATTGATCAAAAGTGACAGCAAAGATATTTATTGTGTTTTAATTAAAAAAATAATCGTGGTTTCCACAAAAATATTAATCAGCACAACTGTTTTCAACATTGATAATAATAAGAAATGTTTCTTTAGCACCCAATCAGCATATTAGAATGTAATGTGACACTGAAGAAAATGCAAGAATATTACACTGCTGAAAATTCAGCTTTGCCATCTCAGAAATTAATTACATTTTAAAATAAAATTGTTGTTTAAAATTGTAATAATATTAAAATGTATATTACTGTATTTTTGACCAAATAAACGTAACGTTGGTGAGCATATTTTTCTTTTTCACTAGCCTCATAGTAGATAAGTTATCAATGTTTTCTAAAAAATAATGAACCAATTTTATCACCATAACTTTTTCTACTTTTTACAGTTCAAATTCAAGTGAACACACCATATTATCTAAATTGAATGCATTTTGAGTGCCATTTTATTTTTAAATTTACATCCATATCCGTCTTTCTCTCATTCTCTACTCTCAGAGTCCAGTGCTACTACAGAGGAGCCAAGTGAGCCTCAGGCAGAGCGGGTGACCCCTGACCTCTGTCATCCCAAGGAGCCTGAAGCAGGTAAAAGCATACTAGCCTTCTTACCTTATATCTGAATGTAGTTCCATATCCATCTTTTTTCTCTTGCCTCCAGTGGTACATTGATAATCCCAAACATATGACATATCAAAGCCTCTAATAGAACCCTCTCCAATTTCTCATCCAGTTACAAATCCCTCCATTCTGTCTATACCTGCCCTCCTAGAAGCTTTAATGCCCGTCTCATAATCTTTATATGCACATGTACATGTCAGTCCAACTAACTGTCAAGTCCATTCTTGTAAGACATTCATTTCAGTGAGCTTATGCTTAACACAGAGATGTTAAATGCTGATTTAGCCACTGCGTTGTGTGGAGAAACCATGTCCGAATCTCTCAAAAGGAATTGTACATGAGTACGAACCTCTGTGAAGATCGAAACAGGACAGCGGCAGTTAATGAAAAAAAATGAAAAAAACATTTTTACCAGTGATAATAACATAGGTTGAAATATGGTAAGACAAGAGTTTTACATTTCTTATTTTAACACCAAACCCAATACCCCCATACTTAACCCAAACAGTTGTCCCAGCCCTAGTCAGATCCGATGTGAAACCTGTTCCCCATGCTGTGCTAGTTCTCCCACTACAGTAAACCCACATCCAATAGAACTCCCTAAATAGACTCCCAGTGTTAGTGCCCCTAATATATAGAAATATACTGTGAGTTGATATGAACGCTTAACCACTGTCATGTGTATTAACAGGTTTCCTTGGTTATGGAAAATCAGGGAATTTTAAAGTCCTTTGCCAGGCCCAGAAAAAAAATCTTTATGTTGTAGAATATTATGTCTCTTAGATATAGCTCTTTTGTAGAGTAAAACTTGCAGGTAAGCAAGTGGTTTCTGATTATTTTGATTTGGATCTTTGCAGTGCTATTTTGCTCTGAATTATTTTATTATTTTTATACCAATATACTATTTATATCTTTTAGTTTTCGTTCTAATTTTCGTTTAAGTTTTAATAATTTTGTTGTCTGCTTTTGCCATTTTTTGTTGTTTTTTAATATAATTCTATTAAGCTTTATTTTATAAAATGTTCAGTTTATTTAAGTTTTTAGTTAACTGAATAATAAATATTAGATGAATTTTTTTTATTTGATTTAATTTCAATTAATAATTAACAATTAATTTTAGTTAACAATAGCAATGCTGGTTCTTTCCCATGAATCTGATCACAAATTGGTCTGAAGGATTCATTAGCTAATCTAAATTATTATTTTTTCTTTCTATGGAAAAGTCATGGAAATTCATTGGTCACAAAGTGTGCTTTATACAAAATGTATTTAATGTTTTATATATAATGATATAAATAGAATGTGTTATTACATTTTAGTTTATTTTTTTAATATATATATATTTCAAGGTTTTTAAACGATAATTAATTCGCAAATTACCATTTAAAAAAAATAATTTGTTCACGAGTCAGGTGTAGAAACCTGGGGTTGTTGAAGCGTACATATTGACTCACAGATTAAGTATTTTGACTCATAATTAATAACACTGGATTTATTATGTTGAAGTTTGCATTACACAAATGGTCACTGGAGTAAACCACAGGTGAGTTGAATCATCAAAACATCTCCAGCAAAGAAGAATAGAATTCATGTGTTTTTGATCAAGTCATACACATAGGAATACTTCCCATGTGCTACGCTGATGGTAATATCATTCTGTTTATATCTCTGCAGAAGATTTAACGCCGAAGTCTACACCACAAGGGCTCAAGAGAGCTGTTGAAGGTAAAACTCCATTTTGAATTATCACTCAGGTTTGTCTTCAGATATTATGGGGTGTTGGTGTGATTGTCCTCCCTTTTCCCCAGAAGACATCGGAGAGATGATCCTTCAGCTGCGAAAGCAAGTCGAGAGCCTTTTCAGCTCCAAGTACAGTGAGTCATGGACTTACTCACCGTATCATTTACAATCAACTGTGGCTGTTACAGATTCCTCTGGCTTAAAATATTCACGAATAATAGATTGCAGAATTCATAATAGTTTGTCAAATCATCTATCTTTCTCATTCTAGGTGAGACTCTTGGTCTGCCTGAACCGGCTAAAGTGCCATACTCCAAGTTCCAGATGTACCCGGATGACCTGTATGTCACTGGGCTGCCAGAAGGGATGACTTTTCGAAGGCCAAACTGTTTTGGGGCAGCAAAACTCAGAAAGATTCTTGCTGCCAGTAGTCAGATTACATTTGTTATAAAGAGGTATAGTCATACAGAAAACATTCAAATTACACATTAAAAAAGACTTACACAAAACACTACACTACGATGTTTCAGAAAGCTGCTTGACAATGATGTGCCTTTTTTTATGTGTTTGTCAGGCCAGAATTGTTGACAGAACAAGTAAAAAATGAAGGTGCCTCTAAGACGACCTCTGATTCAGGTAAACTAACTTTTTTTTTTTATTATTATTTTTTAGGGCTGTCACGATTCCTCTTAAATTTGAGTACTCGATTAAAAAAAAAATATCCTTGATTACATTTAGCCCGTGTTGATTAACCGGCAAAATACCAGAAGTGGTGCATTCCACAGACGAGAATCCATGAACCACATTATTAGACCGCTCTCAAAGGCTGCATCATATATTTTAACCAATTAAAAATCATAACATAGAATAGTGCTATTGTGAATCACAAAGGCTGCGATTCAATTAAATAAATATATATGCGCTGCGAGTTACCGGGTGAAGTGCGGCTCTTTATTTACATGCTGCAGTTTACGAGTTTCTTCCGTTCACAGTAAATGCTGCTCCACACGAACTCTTTGTTTGGGTTTCCAATAACGGTCTTTGTGTTTCATGCAAAGTGTTGCACTGTTATCATTTACATGCATGGAGCGCGACTCAGCAGCTCAGTTAACACACTCCATCTCTGCATATGTTTGGGTTGCTTATAACGTTGATCTGGGAACGAATTGTGCGTCATTTCACCAGATTTGTAACATTTATAAATCTACGCCAACACAGGAGAATACATCAATATGTTTCTAAAAATGCGAACTGTTGTTCATCGCGATTTCAAAATAAAAGTTTAAACCCCAGTTTGCATGTTTTGATATCCACATGTTCTTTTTTAAGAAATGACAGTGGCTGTAGCATTTTTATCGGAAAGAATTGGCCAAATATTAAAGATTAAATGTAAATTTCAGGTAAATGTTATTTAATTCATAATAACTGGGCAATATTAAAGCTGCCGTCGGCAACATTTTTTTTATCATAATCAGTGAAATCATTCAAAATTTTGCCTAAGTCCACTCAATCTGCCAGACTTGCCGACTGCAGCTTTAAACAAGGATTTGAACTGCTGTAAAGTAACAACCACACCAGGCTGTTGGCGCCCTCTGTAGGCATATGTTATAATATGTAATGTACATACTGTAAGTTGATCATGTTTATATTATGTAATTACTGTATTTTAACAGTGTTGTTTAATACAATCATATGATTATTGCCTCATTGTTATTATACGTATGTATTTGAAGTCATTTTAAAGGTGAACTAAGTAACTTTTTTACCTTAACCGAACAGCTTTGGAGTCATTGTAATGTTTATATTACTGATTTCGTGTTGAATGGTGGTCGTCTCGCACCCCCCTGGTGCCTGTGAATGCCAAAACCACCCTTGCAACTTTGGGCCGGCGAGCCACCGGCCTCAGTGTTAGGAAGTGTCGTGTGATATCAGGTCTCGCGAGGTAACCAATTGCTTTACGGCAAAAAACAGATCTGATAAAATTCTGATAAAATGAGCATCAAACAGAAATAACCCGGCGGCGTATACATGTGGTGTTGGGCGCGCGCAGCTCTTAAAGGGGCCATACCTTATTTCCACTCGTTACAGCGTCCATCCTACTGAACAGGTACCGGTGTCCAGGGGTAGGGGATCCGGCCGTGAGTGCGAGCCATCTCTGCGTGAGTGCTATTCACGACAGTACAAGTACACCACAGCGACTCTAGGGGTCGCTGTTTGACAAAATCGGAATTCCTACTTAGTGCTGCTTTAATGGCTATTGTTCACTTAGGTCTATTTTTATTTCCACAAAAAAAACTGATTGCTCGATTAATCGTCAAAATAATCGACCGATTACTCTAATACCAAAATAATCGTTAGTGACAGACCTAATTTTATTTTATTTTACAAACCAATTGTCCTATGTATGGTCATTTTGTTTTGTTTGAACTATCCATTTTGTGTGTATTCCTTGTTTTATCCAAAATATCACTTACTAATCTAATATAATGCTCCTTTTGATTAAATCTTCAGCAGAAACCGACTCTAAAGACCAATCAGATGACCCGGGACCTGCCTCCAAAAGACCAGGATTCTCAGGTATCACCGTGATTAAGTTATCAGGTGTTGTACATAGTAAGTTTGAGACTTTATTGCATCCTGACTGAATGAAAAGATTCAGTTTATCCTTGTGCCACGTGTCTGTCTTTTGGATGCCAGTTCACGTTCAAAACATCATTCCCTCCTGTCCTTTCTCAATATGCTATCACTAAACCGTTGGTTTTTCTACCATTGTTCTGCCCTCAGACAGTTTAGAGGCCAAGCTCTCCCGTATCGACTTGGCGAACACACTGCGAGAGCAGGTCCAAGACCTGTTCAACAGGAAATACGGCGAGGCACTGGGCATTAAGTATCCTGTGCAAGTGCCTTACAAGAGGATCAAGAGTAACCCTGGCTCAGTGATTATCGAGGGCTTGCCCCCTGGCATCCCCTTCAGAAAACCCTGTACCTTCGGCTCACAGAATCTAGAGAGGATATTAGCGGTGGCTGACAAGATCTCTTTCAGCATTACCCGGTGAAGCACTGCGCCAAGTTTTTGAAAAGCTTTCAAACTAAAAAAGTGAACGTGGTTTAATTTGTGTAATATATTGGGTTTATTTAAGAATTACAACGTCTTTTCTATCTTTTCAGGCCTTTCCAAGGGCTCATTCCCAAGCCAGGTAAGCAGTCGAAATTTAATAGCACATCTTTATTTAAAAGTGTCTATATTTTTGCTGAATTACTCATGGAAATAACTTAATCAAATTTTTATTTTGCCAGCACCACGAAGAATAACCATATTAAAGAAAGGTTACACCCCAATAAGCGGTGAGAATACAGCATCATTTACTATGTGCTATGTGTTGTAGTTATTTATTGCACTTCATGTCTACACTGGACATCCAGAGCGTTGTGGTGCAACAAAACTAGATCTAGAACGGTCAGTTGATGTCCCATTTCTATTTTTGTTGGGCTGCACAGCTATCACAATCATTCAGCTTTTTTTTATATATATATATATATATATATAATATATATATTGGTGCTGTCAGATTGATTTATAGCAACATAAATATAGTGTTTATATAATATGTGTGTGTATATATATATTAAAATGATTTTACTTGAATTTACTACTGCACTTGCTAATTATTTTATGCAAATATATTACCATACAAAAATATATTTTTAATGCTTTTGAAAAAGTCTCTTATGCACACCAAAGCTGCATGTATTTGATAAATATAGTAAAACAGTACTATTGTGAAATATTATTACAATTTAAAATAACTGTTTTCTTTTTTAATATAAATTTTAAAAAGTAATTTATTCCTGTGATTCAAAGTTGAATTTTCAGCATCATTACTCCAGTCTTCAGTGTCACATGATCCTTCAGAAATCATTCTAATATGCCGATTTGCTGCTCAAGAAACATTTCTTATTATTATCAATGTTGTTTTTGGAATCTGTGATACATTTTTTCCCCAGGATTCTTTGATAAATATAAAGTTAAACAAAATAACAGCAATCTTTTCACTTGTGTAAAATTGCCCGTTATTATAAAAATGTTTTATTCAAAATATTTAATCATTTATAATTTTCTTAAATATATTTTAAAATGATAAAATAACCCATATCATTTCCTTTGAAAAAATAAAACCTTATAAGTCTTGCCTCAAGCTTGAATCTGACTCTCTGTCAAGCATAAAAGGTTATTTTAATGTTGAATCTGTCAGTGAACTTATATTAAATATCCTTACACTTCAATATTTGATCACTGTCCAACAGAAGAAGATGAGGTCAACCGAATGGGAGAGAAAGTGATATTAAGGGAACAAGTTAAAGAGCTCTTCAATAAGAAATACGGTACGTTGATTATTAATAACTGATTTATTCTTTTGTGCAAATGTTTTTGTCCTTATATAAAATATTCCAATGCTTCATATGTGAATGTGTTGTGTTCAGGTGAAGCTTTGGATTTGGATCGCTCAGTCATTGTTCCGTACAAGTTAATCCGTGCCAATCCAGGCTCGCTGGAGGTGTGTGGACTTCCGGATGATATCCCCTTCAGGAATCCCAATACTTATGACATAGTTCGGTTGGAAAAAATCCTTCAGGTCCAAGATGAAATTACTTTCCATATCAAAACCCCCCTACAGTAAGTGCTTGCCGGATGTGATTATGTTGGATGAAGAATGCTTGCAAGTGTTGTTTGATCTCATTGATTTCTTCTTTGTTTAGGCCTTTTACAGAGTTGTGTACTCAAACTTGTAATAAAGGTAAGAGCCTTTATTTGTTATGACACATTTTATGTACTTTTGAAAAAAAAAAGTAAGGTGTAGAAATGTGTGCAAATGTTTACATCTTCTTTTGCAGAAGGTAAAGAAGTGTCTACGAATCGACGCAAACGTAAACGAGTACTTGACAACAGTCAAGCATCCATGGCCACTAGAGCAGACTCAGCACTATCAACCAATCAGATACCTGTCATGGTATGCAAACACATTACAGGAACGCTTTTCCATTTACACTTTTTAAAAATACTTTACGTCATCATAAAAGGCATTTTAAACCCAGGTTACTTTCAGAATGCAAAATTTTGTTGAACAGGATATTCAATGAGGAAGAAATGTGGGGTGGGACTCGATTTTATCAGACAGGAAATAATTGTATTTTGAAAAGTGGGTGTTATGGACAGAATGGAGCCAGACTAAATAGTAATTTCTGTATAGTTTAACATTACACTACTGTTCAAAAGTTTGGGGTCAGTAAGATTTAAACATTTTTTTTTAAAGAAATTAATCAAAGAATAAAAGAAATGAATACTTTTATTCAGCAAGGTGCATTAAATTGAACATATAAATTGTATTATATAAAGTGTTTATAAATACGTACATATACACACACACATGTATATATATATATATATATATATATAAACAAATGTAAAAATTCAAATAATCCTGAAAAAAAATCAATTAAGCAGCACAACTGTTTTAAACATTTATAATAATAAGAAACATTTCTTGAGCAGCAAATCAGCATATTAGAATGATTTCTAAAAGAAAAAAACCTGACTGCTGATAATTCAGCTTTGCAATCACAGGAATAAATTGCAATTTTAAAATGTATTCAAATATAAAAGCGTTATTTTAAATTGTAATACTATTTCACAATATTACTGTTTTTACTGTATTTTTTTTATCAAATAAATGCCGTTTTTTTATATACATTAAAAGAGAAAAAGTTATTTTAAATTGTAACAATATGTCACTTGAGGTGTTGTGGGCTAGTCGACGAAACACTGAGGACGGAAGGTGCCCACTTGAAGACCCTAGAGATGTCCCCTACTCGGTTCAATCCAGACGGTTGTCGTGCTGGTCCTGTAGTTGCAGCCGTCGCGTGTGCTAACGCGCCAAGTACACTGCAGTCGTTAACGCCGGACAGAAGGGGAGTCACACTACCTTATGGAAAGAAGCGTAAATGGATGGAGAAGCATAGTTTACTGTAAAGCTACGTCTTAGTTTTGCTTATCTTGGCCCAAGCCGAGTACAAATCAGCATGAAGTTTTAACATCTACTCTCGTGTAATGGAAATCATGAAGATCTGGATACATCCAGTGACTGCGGTGAATAGTGCTGCTGGCAACCAGGGAAAGACCTTGTGACAGCCTGGAGAGACAGCTGACAGGAGGAAAGAGACCCCAATGGGGCTGGTAAGGGTTAGCTACCCTTGTCGGCAGTATCCAGCTCCGTGTTTACAGGATGCTGGAGACACCCGCCCAAGGCTTCTGAGAAATTAAAGAGAAAAATACCCCTAGAGTCTGCGAGAGCGGGGGCGGAAGATGACTCAATGTTGGACAACATGGTTAACGACTTAGGAATGGAAACGGATATGAGTATGGAGAGTAAGACTAGTTCAAGATCTGCAGTAAGTAAAGTCATTGAACTCCAAGTTTGTGTCTGTGGCTGGAGCAAGGTGACAACGGTCAGGGGTTTGAAGGTTCATCAAGGGAAAATGAAATGCTTGAGGGAGAAGGGACAAGGGCCTCGCATTGATCAGTACTTCTTACGAAGTCAGTCAAGTCAGTCGAATGAAATCCAGCGACAGGAAGCAAACCACAGCTCGCAGGATATCAGCACCCCTGTCATTGACGAAAGGAGGCCTTGCACAGTTAGTGATGAACATATTCATACTTGTGAACCCGGTCAGGCTAACCAGCATAAGAGAGAAAAGAACCTCAACGGGCATAGGCCTGGAGTTAGATGGCCAAGAGCTTGTGAGAAAACTGCATGGGACACGGTAAACACAGATCTATGCTTTGCATTGGAAAGATTAACTGGTACAGTTGAAAAGAAGCTGGATAAATTTGGGGACATCATTTACGCATATGGAAGTGAGAGGTTTGGTGTGGAAAAAAGGAAGGAAAAAGTACAAACTACTCCTGGAATGTCTAGACGGCAGCAGAAAATTGAAGGGTTAGTTAGAGAAAGGAGACAGCTGAGGAAGCAATGGAAAAGAGCAGAACAAAGTCAGAAGGAGGGACTCAATCTCTTACAAAGGGCCATAAAAGATAAGCTGGCAACATTACGCAGAGCTGAGCGCCTACGGAAACGCTACAAAAAGAAGGAACGTGCGAGGGCTAATTTCTATAAAGACCCATTCAAATTCGTAAAGAAGTTATTCACCAGTGAGAAGAATGGCACTTTAAAAACATCTAGGATTGAGCTAGAGAGATATTTGGAGGACACGCATACAGATGCAAAAAGGCATGAGCCTATGTCAATTCCATCAGACATACCACCTATCAACCCACCAGAATACCAAATGGAGGTCTGTGCACCTAAGTGGAAAGAGGTAGAGCAGGCTGTGAGAAAGGCAAGGGCTTCATCATCTCCAGGGCCTAATGGAGTTCCGTACAGAGTGTACAAGAGTGCTTCAGGAGTTCTGCGAATTCTGTGGAAATTGATAAAAGTGGCATGGGAAAAACAGGTTGTACCTAGAGCATGGCGCAGAGCAGGTGGAGTCTTTATACCTAAAGAAAAAGATGCTACAAGCATGAGTCAGTTTCGTCCTATTTCACTATTAAACGTTGAGGGTAAGATTTTCTTCAGCATTATTGCCCAGAGATTGTCCACCTACCTGTTAAAGAATGGCTTCATTGACACCTCAGTTCAAAAAGCGGGTATTCCAGGGTTCTCAGGATGCTTAGAACACATCAATGTTATCTGGCAACGAATTCAGTCAGCTAAAAAGGAGAGGAAGGAGCTCCATGTGACATTCCTGGATTTGGCTAATGCATATGGTTCAGTGCCACATGAGCTTCTTTGGGCAGCATTTGATTTTTTCAGAGTACCAATGTCAATAACAAATTTAGTGAAAGCCTATTTTGGAGATTTGCAATTCAGTTTCTCAACTCCAAAATTCAGCACTGCATGGCAATGCCTAGAGGTTGGAATAATGGCAGGATGCACCATTTCTCCACTGGCTTTTACCATGGCGATGGAATTAATCATGAGGGCATCAAGATGGGTAGTAGGAGGAGAGCGCTTGGCTTCTGGGATGCGACTACCACCAATCAGAGCATACATGGATGACATGACAACCATGACTACAACAGTAGCCTGCACTAATCGGTTATTGGGGAAGTTAACAGATAATATTGAATGGGCACGAATGAAATTTAAGCCCTCTAAATCAAGGAGCATCTCGATAGTTAAAGGAAAGGTAGTAGATAAAACATTCTTCATTAATGGTGAGGCAATACCAACAGTTTCTGAGAAGCCAGTGAAGAGTCTTGGGAGATGGTACGATGGGGATCTAAAGGACACAGTTCGGGTGGGAGAAGTTAGACGACAAGCAGTGGAAGAGTTGAAGAGCATAAACAGCTGTGCTCTACCTGGTAAACTAAAACTCTGGTGCTTTCAGTTTGGTCTACTGCCGAGGTTGCTGTGGCCACTGACCGTGTACGAGGTTTCTTTGACAACAGTGGATAAGCTGGAAGCGTTGGTAAGTTCATACATCAGGAAATGGTTGGGAGTTCCACGCTGCCTCAGCAGAGTAGGACTTTATAGTAAAGGAATATTGCAGCTGCCAGTCTCTGCTTTAACCGAGGAGTTCAAGTGTGCCAAGGTCAGACTGGAAATGACCTTAGTAGAGTCAAGCGACAAATGTGTAAGGGAGGCAGCCCCTGTGTTAAAAACTGGTAGAAAGTGGTCAGCAAAGAAATCTGTAGTAGAGGCAAAGGCTGCCCTTCAAATTAGGGATATCGTGGGACAGGTACAGCATGGAAGAGGGGGTTTTGGGCTCAGTTTAGCTCCTCCTAAATGGCACAAGGCAGGCCCAGCTCAAAGGAGGAAGCTGGTAGTCAACGAGGTGCGACAGCAGGAGGAGAGGATGAGGTGTATAAAGGCCATTTCACAGGCCAAGCAGGGAGAGTGGATGAGATGGGAGAGTGTGGAACAACGTAAGATGGGCTGGCAAGACCTTTGGTCAATGGAAGAGAGTAGGATCAGTTTCCTTATTAGGTCAACATATGATGTTCTCCCATCACCGCAGAACCTAAACCTCTGGGTAGGAGAGGATCCCTCTTGTCCTTTGTGTTCATCACCTGCCACATTAAGGCACATTTTGACAGGATGTAAGGTGGCTCTTAGCCAAGGTCGGTTTACTTGGCGCCATGACCAAGTACTGCGATGTTTGGCTTTAGCATTAGAAGGTAAGCGTAACATGACCAATAAGTTGCCACCTGTTCTAGCAAAACATTACACGCAGAAGACAATATTCCTCCGCCCAGGCGAGCAACCACCAAGAAAAGGTGTTAACACCAATTCTCGCCCAGGACAACTGGAAGCTGCTAGGGACTGGAAGATGCTGGCTGATCTTGACCAACGGCTTATTTTTCCACCTGAGATTGCCACCACTAACCTACGACCAGATATTGTTTTGTGGTCTGGATCAGCACGCATTGTTCAACTGATAGAGTTAACAGTGCCATGGGAGGATGCGGTAGATGAGGCATATGAGAGGAAGAAACTGCGGTATGCTCATCTGGCCACTGAAGCAGAACAGCGAGGATGGAGAGTCCAGGTTTATCCAGTGGAAGTGGGTTGTCGAGGTTTTGTGGCACACTCTACAACCCGGTTCCTCAGAGACGTCGGATTCAGTGGCCAAGAGTTGCGTCGCACAGTAAAGAACTTATCTGAAGCAGCAGAAAGGAGCAGCAACTGGCTGTGGTTGAGACGGAAAGATTCTAGCTGGCTGTGTACAGGCCGCCACGCTACGGTTTCGTAGAGTTCTTGAAAACTTGAAGAGTCTGTTGGTTTGTTTGTATACGTTCCTGTGGATATTGCGTGAATGACGGGTGGTTGGGTAGATATTGTGTTTTGCGGTAGGTGGTATGCCATACAGAACCGTTGTCCACTGAAACTGCATATTAACGCACCAGTGGGGCTCGACAGCCTTAGTCAACGGGTTGGCGCGTATGGTTGGGTTGCGGAGAGATTGTGATATTGTGGTTAGGTCTCAGCAGCAGGAGGGATGTAGAGGTCAGTAAGCTGGGCTGAGTTGAGTGGGGGACGGAGGGGGGTGACTCTGGGACGCCAGAGTCACTGTCGAGCCCTCTTGAGGTGTCGTGGGCTAGTCGACGAAACACTGAGGACGGAAGGTGCCCACTTGAAGACCCTAGAGATGTCCCCTACTCGGTTCAATCCAGACGGTTGTCGTGCTGGTCCTGTAGTTGCAGCCGTCGCGTGTGCTAACGCGCCAAGTACACTGCAGTCGTTAACGCCGGACAGAAGGGGAGTCACACTACCTTATGGAAAGAAGCGTAAATGGATGGAGAAGCATAGTTTACTGTAAAGCTACGTCTTAGTTTTGCTTATCTTGGCGAAAGCCGAGTACAAATCAGCATGAAGTTTTAACATCTACTCTCGTGTAATGGAAATCACAATATTACTGTTTTTACTGTATATTTCATAACATAAAAAAAACGTACTCGCTTCAAACTTTTGAATGGTAGTGTCAACAATTCCCTGTGCATCCTAGATGAACTGAAAAGTCATTTCAGAAATAGTAAAAAATAATAATAATTAAAGGCTGTTAAAACAAACACATGAATTTTGCACAATGAGATCGTAAACAGGTCTTAAAGGGACAGTTCACCCAAAAATTCTGTCATCATTTACTCACCCTTAGTTGTTCTAAACCTGAGTTTCTTTTGTTGAACACAGAGTATATTTTGGAGAATGACGGTAACCAAACATTTGCTGGTCCCAATTAACTGCCATAGTTTATATATATACTATGGAAGTCAGTAGGGACCAGAAACTGTTTGGTTACCGACATTCTCCAAAATATACTCTTATGTGTTTAACAGAAGAAAGAAACTCAGGTTTAGAACAACTTGAGGGTGAGTAAATGATGACAGAATTTTAATTTTTGGGTGAACTGTCCCTTTAAGACCGTAAATGAGGTCAATTGTATTGATCTTTCATGTCAACCTTCAAAATTGCTATTTTCGCTATTAAAATGTCCTCCTTTTTCTTTTCTTTTTTCCAGCAATGGCCCATGTACATGGTGGACTATAGCGGAGTGAATGTTCAAGTTCCTGGCAAAGTCAAATACTAAATAACTTTCCGATGCCGTATGGAAGACTTTCACCATTATGGGACCTTTTTAAATGTTTCTAAATGCTAAATTCAGCTTTCCCCAGAGCTGTGGCAGATCGGGCGGCTCACGCATGGAGACACCTGTGTGTTCTGGCAGGTGTTAGAGAGTGTGAACCGCTGGATGCAATGAAGTGCTAATGATGGAAAAACACAGCAGTAAATCAATCGGCCAGTGCTCTATTACTTAAGAGGAATAGTACTCATCCTCCTGTCAGTCCAAACCTCAATGCTTTTTAACTGAAAAAAGAGCAACATGCAGGTTTGGAATGACATGAGGGTAACTATTCCTTTAAGAGGTTGTTTGTAAAAGGAGTAGCCGTTATTTGAGTATCAGATGAACTATATTGCTTTGCCACCAGGATTTGTGACAGCAGATCCTGGACACAATCATGGTTAAATAACCATCTCATAAAGAGCAGTAAGAATGAGATTTGGGATTATTTTTATTTTTATTTTTCCCAAATAATAATCACTGTTGGGATACACAGCCTTGTTTGGTGCCGAGAGCTCGTACAGTACGTATATACTATACGACGCGTGTAGTTGTCTGGGTCTCATGCCTTGCAAATGTTTGTATTGTTATTTATTTATTTATTTAAATAAAAACTTGTATACGCAGGGAATGTAAACTACCACATTCAGTATAGAGCATAAAGTACTGAATAACACGACTAATGATGCTAAAAGCAGCTAGCTACTGTATGTATTCAGAGAGAAACTTCTGCTTCAGGTTTCAGTACGTCAAGTTGGAAAACCCTAACATGATAGCACTAACTTATATTCAATTGAGAGACTTTTTTGTATTATTTTAGCTTTGTAAGTTACTCTAGTTCGTTAAAGTAAGGCAAAGTGAGATATTTCACAGAGAAAACATCATGAATGTATTGTTTGTAAAGGAAAGAATGCTATAATGTTATTCTGTAATGACTGTCTCTGGAATCACCAGTATTTATATGCTGTACCCTAATGCCATTTAGGCCTTTCAAATAAAATGTGTTGCCTTGCATTTGTTTTTGCTTGTTTGTTTGTTTGTTTGTTTTACTTTTATCATGATAATGTAATGCAGTGAACGCCTTTCTAGGTGTGTGTGTGTGTATTAGGATGCCTTATTGCATAGTAGTTAAAGAATTCTGAAATATGATATCTTTCAGATGGAAAATAGATGAATGATGAAGAAGAAAGAATAATGTTCCAAACACATCATTAGCACCATCTGCTGGGCAAAAGGCAACATCACATTTTCAATGATGCAGAAATTGTATTATTATTTTACAATGTACCACTTTTACGCCTGGTTTCACATACAAGACTTAAACCAGGACATTTAAGTAGCTTTTATAAACGTGCCTTAGGTTAAAACAGCTAAAACATGCATTTTAGTCTGGGACTAGACTTAATTATTGCATGTGAAACCAGGGGAATATCTTAAATTGAATCCCAAATTTTCAAACATTTTCATGTCTGCAGTGTTTCATAACTGCATTATACTCGTATAAGGAGATGAAAGTTAAAACACCATCACTGCTGTACCTTTGCTAGAGTAGTTTTTACCATTAACTTGAACTTCAAGCAATCATTTAAAGTTAATAAACAGAATTACAGGGTGTTAAGGGGATAATTCACCCCAAATCGTCATTATTTAATCGCCATTTGTTATTGATGCGAATAATTTTCCCTATTCAGCGTAACATAATTTTAATAGTGAAACATTATTTATTATAAACAACATTACTTACTGAAAATCTTGACATTCGCCCTAACTTACGAAATCGATTCATTTGAGTTGAATCTTTTCAGTAGATTCAATTCACAAAAACTGATTCACGAATCAGACTCGTCTAGTTCTCCAGACAGTTCAGCTTCCTGAACCGAATTCATATCCTGACGAATCTGTTCTGACAGCAAATTAGAAAGAAAAAATACCAGTGAATGATGGCATCATTTTCAGTTTCGGAAAAACTAGTATATTACAAATCGCGCGTATTTGTACTTTATAATAAGTATATAGAGGGACTTTTATTTTGCCGTTTGTCACATTGGCTTAATTTAATGACTTTCAAAATAAAAGTCGCCAATGCAGACACTAACTAACAGAGACAAAATCTGATAACGGCCAGAGTAAGTAAACTTCATGTAGCACCGGGAAATGCTAGTAATTTAAAACAACTAGCCACTTTAATTTATTTTAAACCTGTAAAATGTAAGGGGAAATGTAAAAACAGATTTCCATAGGGGAGTGTTCTGTGTCTGGCTTCACAGTGTGTATCTATGGGAATCCACCACCAGCGACACAAACACACACAGCAGGCGAGCAAGTAACTATACAACCCTTGCGTACTTTAAAAAAAACCATGTCCATCAGTGTGCTTCTATAAGCCACCTGACAACTTTAGTCTGCTGTCTACAAAATAGTAGCTGTTATATTATCTGGTAGTGGTTTATGAGGCTGGTAGCCGTACAGTAACGCACTGAATGGCGAAGAAAAGAGCGAGACGCGGCTAGTCTGAAGCTGCGACTCTAGCAACCGAGCAAGATGATGCGACGTCAGTGGTTTTTTACTCAAATCTGCGGTTAAATTAACGTGTACTACTGGATAAAACACTGTAGTGGCGACATTGATTAATATCTTACAGAATACGACTAGTTAGCGGGCTATCTGGCTGTAAATCAAGTGCAACTGAAAGGGTGTTGTTGTTGTTAGCTGGGCCAAATCGTCACATTGCTATATACTCCAGCTTATTTCGTCGCCGGCGGTCAGTTGGGATCTTTTCTATCTGACAAAATGGCAACAGGCTCCAGTTTTCATTCCGGAGGGAGTGGGTCTAGAAACGGACCGTCTTTCGCATCGCCATCATCCTCCTCCTCCTCCTCCTCCTCCTCCTCTGGGATGCCAGGACAGGCTCAGCCGATGGCGGTGGTTTGGGAATGGCAGGATGATCTGGGCTTCTGGAGGCCTTACACTGGACAGGTGTGCAGCTTCATCGAGCAGTGTCTCCAGCATCAGAGAGGAGCATCGACCCCCAGCAGCAGCAGCAGCAGCATCTGTCTGGCTCAGGCGGACCCCAGCCTGTCTGCCTACATCATCGACATCCCCAACCTCAAACAGTTCAGACAGGACACCGGTGAGTGGGACCTCACACAGCCCGTTCACTAAACTACTTATGCAGACTTATAAAAAGTATGCTCATGGTACGTTAATAGTAACTTAGCTACTGAATATGAATCGTTACCATATTCGTGTAGCATCTACATAGAACTCCAGTCAACTCAAACTCCAGTGAACTCCACTACATATTCAAAAACATGGTACTTTTTTGTTAACACTAACTGTGTTATTGAATGATATCTCATTAAATAACATGATAATAACATGGAACTTGTACCAAAACATTGGTTGTGAAACGTAAAATTGTGAAACTCCTAAATAAACGTCCTGACTACTTTCAAAACAATTCTTGATTTAAAGAAGTTGTGATATTTGTAAACATAGATCACAAATCTGTAAAAAAAAACAGTACAATTGTGAAATATTATTACAAAACAACTTTCTATTTGTTAATGTAATTGTAAAATGTAATTTATTTCATTAAAATTAATGTATTTCATTGTAAAGCTGAAATTTCAACAGCTATTACTTACATTTCTTCTTAATACAATCGATATTGAAAACAGTTGTGCTGCTTTATATTTTTGTGGAAACTGATACATTTTATTACAGAATAGAAAGTTCAAAAGAACAGCGTTTATTTGTAATCGAAAACTTTTGTAACATTATAAATGTCTTTACTGTATTGATCCATTTGATGTGTTCTTGCTGTATACAAGTATTAATTTATTTAAAGAAAAGATTTAACTCCTAACCTTTGAGCAGTATTGTGTGTATAGATATTTGATATGTGTATGATAGTATGTGATAAGTATATATACTGCTATTTTTTTTGTCTACACTCGTAAGTATTTATGGTATGTTATTTTTGATTTACTTTTACACTTGACATTTTTAGTTTAGTTTTTTTTTCCAAAAACCTTTAAAACCCGCATCAGTACGCAGATTTTTAAAAAGAGCTTTTTATCTAATTTGAATTTAAATTGTATCTAATTATCTGATAAGTTTTTAAGGACTTATATCTAATTAGCGTTTTAGACTAGATTTAAAATATAATCTTGGACATCTTTATTAATGACCCATAAACTATGTTTAACGGAGTGTTAAGAATGTATGCTTATTGCTCATTTGGATTAAGTAAATGTGTTACCAGTTGTCAAGGAAGTGCTTCCATAATCTACAGAGTGAAATAAGCTTAATGTGAACTGTGAATGCTGGCTGAAACTAATTCAGTTGCTCCGAATGTATGATATTTATGCTTCATTCAGGTCATTAAGCCTGCTGGGTAAAGCTGTTTAGCGCTGCAGTAGGACACATGGGCGTTTGGTCTGTTAGCTGGAGATTAGGCTTGTTTTGGGGGATGTTTGAATGACTTTCGACACCTGTGGTCTCTATGGAAAAGAACAGGAAAGAGGAGACAAAAAAATCTCAGGAAATAAGCGTACAGATTTCGACAGGATGCACAGCGTATTTGCTGGATGAAATAGCAGCTCTTTCTTACATATGTTTTAGAAGAGAAGCACATTTTATGATTGAGAAATGTTCTTGTTCCAATTACTGTGAAAGTTTTTGTTGAACCCTCTGTAGGAAAGATGCGCACCGTTCGGCGATCCCTGTTCCCGCAGTCTTCTGCCCTGGGCAGTGGCGTTCTCTGGGAGTGGGCCAATGATGAGGGTGGGTGGACGGCGTACGAGATCCGAACATCCATTTTGCTGGAGCACAGCTACCAGGCAGGGCAGGCCACAGCTGACCTGAGCCCACAGGGCTACAACTACATTGTGGACCTCACCGCTCTAGAGCAAGTCAACAAGTCTTCTAGCTTCAGGCGGCGCGTCAGGCGACAAGGCAGCATGCCGTATCCTCTCACGTCTGGGTCGGTTATTCACTCGGGCCCGGCCTGTACCTGTCACCAGTGCGTGAGCAATAGCAGCACCGCCGGACCCATGCTGAGCCGGTCACGGCATTCCTTCTCCGCGGGGCAAGCCAACAGACCCAGCCTCCAGACGCAGCTTGGGAGACTTCCTGGAACCAGCTCCTCTTCAGCCTACTCGCCCTACCCCAGAAGACCTCTCTCGATGGGGAACCTGTTATGGAACAACCCATGGAGCACCCCCACCTCAGTGGCTCATCCCACAGGACAGCCGCAGGCTTTTGGTCATCACTCAAATGGCTTAAGGTAAGACTACTAGGCCTAGTTCAATAGTTGAAAATGCAGGTTATCATATTTTTAAAATACTTCTGTAAATGCCATCTGATACTTTCAATCTATCATGGTACCACCATAGTTCTTTTTTTTTCCCTAAGGGAAAGACGTATTTTATCCATATTTTCAAGGACTTTGCACACAAGCATGGAAGTTCTCCTACAGAGAGCAGTTTAAAAATACTCAATGGCTTTTGGTCATAAGGAAACAAGATGTTTGACCCACATATTTTAAATGACACCGAAGGTCAAAAGGTTGTATTTCATCATCTACTGTGGTCTTCTCCTTCCTGCCATTGTGTCCGTTCTCTTGTGGTTTTTGTAGGCTTAAGCTCAGTCATTCTGTGAATCCATTTGTGGCATAATTTTGATTACTGCAGAAAATAATTTTGGCTTGGTTATTAGTTACAAAAAAAAAAAGCTTTTTATTTTATAGTTCTTTCTCTGTATGACATAGTATGTAATTATTGTGTAATAACCAGGCACTAACCCAGAACCAAACTTAAACTTTACCCATGTTAAAGGGATAATTTGGCCTAAAATGAAAATTTTGTCATCAATTCTGACCCTCGTGTCATTCCGAACCTGTGACTTTCATAAGAAGATATTTTGAGAAATGTCTGATTGTTTATATAGTGAAAGACGATGGAATCCACAACTGTTTGGTTACCAACATTCTTTAAAATATCTTCTTTCGT